CCGCCCGAATTTGCTGGTCATTGTTATTTCGGATATCTATAGGTGACGTTATTGGCGATCGAATTTCTGTACGCGACGTTATTAGCGATCAGCCGAATGCGAGCGTGCACGTGAGTCGCGCCTGTTGTTTGCGCCTATCCTGTTGTGTATGCGTGTGTTTATTCGCGCGCTCGCGCGATTAATCCTCGATAGGTTCAAACCTTCAATTTAACTACGTGTTCTGCCATCTTCCCCCGCCTCTTCTTCTCCGCGCGTCATTCGTGCCGCATCAAATTCGCGGCATTTCTGTTATTTACTACTACTGGCAACGTTTATCAGGTCTTTTAGCACAGTTTAAGAAATATTAAGGCGGTGTTCGCTTGGCCATTTTTAGACATTTCTTATCTTATGCGCTGTCATTTTGTTTTACATAATTTTTTATCGATAATTAGAGCATAGGTTATAAAGGCTATAAAGGTAACTCTGCTGATCGCAATCCATTTTACAATTTTTATTTCAGCTCAGTCAGACGAGCCTGATCGCGTGGCAGCTAATAAAGATCTTTGACACGCGTCTTGCATCTTACTAAATAACTTCTTTAATAAGCAATATTTTTATACATAAAAATTCACGCGTCTTCTTTAAGCATATATAAACATATGAGCAAAAGTACAGTTTGAAATTTTTTTGTAATTTCCCTTAAAAAATTTTTAAAATCGGCTTTTTTCGATTTGTTTTAAGCCAATCTCTCCTTAAAACAACCTCATTTTTGTATGCTCGACGGTTAAGTTTATATCCGCGGGATGGCTTCGATACTCACTTATTGACTGCAATTTTTGAAGCAGCCATTTAATTCAGACTCGCTGGATATAGAAACCACTTTTCTCCTCTAGATATGATTGGTGTCGGTCTTAAGAAAAATCAGTGTACGAATAAGTACGTAGCGAGACATCGCGACTTAAACATTCACCAAGATATATCTGTAAGAGAAAAGAAAAAACAAGAAGCCCGCTCTCTTCGAATAGAATCGCGCTGCTCTTGAAAAAAGATAGACCTGTCGGGGATATCGATAGCGACGAATTATTTGGGATAACGCCAACGGACTGCATTCGCATTCGCCTCGAGCTTTGTGCGAAATGACACGTGATAACAGAGTGACGGACATTTAAATTTGTAATTTAATTTATAAGCACGTTTCTGCCCGATATCAGCCGTCAGCTTGGATCTCGAGTCCATTTTTCTTTTCCGACATTCGCCACGATCTCCTTTATTACGCTCTCCTTTATTGCGCTTGTTTCTACCGTGCACGTAATCGAGCTGCATTCAATTGCGGATATTTTCCCTTTCCCTTACACATGTTCACGTATGTAGGTACACGTGTCCTCGCGTGTATTCCTAGGCGTTCCGATTTGTCGCCCACTCCAGTGTGCGAGTACACGTAGTCCGCATATTCCGCGTACATACATCCGTGAGAACGCGTAAAAAGCTTTGTCGCTCGACGGCCGGTCGATACGCTGTAGGAATGATTTACGAGTGCTCGCCGGATCGTGATTAATAGTATTTGCAAAACTGAATAAACTTCTCGACTTGCGAAATGGGAGACTTGCCTCATCTAAAATTTTTATGACGCAAGCTTTGTCAGTGTATATCCTTTAACCGTCCGAGATACTAAAAAACATTTTGTTTTACAACAAAAGTTCAAATTTCGCATGCTGTTTCGTACATACAGCACTGAAGAAAAGGAAGACCTTTATACTACTTTTGATAATAAATATCTAAATTACATTCATCGCGTTATGACAATATTTGATGAAATATTTCATGTTGCGACATAATGTCGGATATATTTAATAATAGTAATAATAATCTGTTATATAAATGTTATAGAGCGATAAAACCTTTCTCAAACAATAAAACGGATGAATAATGCAACCAGGAAGACACATAAATTATCGTAATTTCGTTCGCTATTGATTTCAGGTGCCACGCTTACTTTCGAAGTCGAGCTCATGAATATTAGCGACTCGCCCCCAACAGCCAACGTCTTTAAGGAGATCGATGCGGACAAAGACAACCAGTTGTCCCGCGAGGAGGTGAGAGCAATGGCAAGATCACTTTAAGTCTTTTTCATTTGGGACATTTGTGTGGTGGTGGTCGTAGAACTGTAGAGCTACGAGTCCCCACCTTACGTCCGCCCTCGTAAATCCAATGAGGATTTGGTGTCGCTCTCAACGCAATTTATTTTAATCAATTTGACGTAGAACCCGATATTATCATCGATTAGCTCTTATATATTTTAGTATTATATATTTTAGTATTTGCCAGCGTTGCTAATTAACATTGTATAACGCACGATAAAAATTATGTATGGCTAATTATATCGCTAATAATCACTGTAGATATTTTATTAACGGAGCAGACGAGAATATCATTAAATCACAATCGATAAAATAAATAACTAATGCACGAACCGTTAAAACTAAACACGTGACATTACATTTTTTAGCGATTTTGCACGAGGTAATATAACCGCGAGAGATATAATTTCCAATTGACTGAGAAATAATATAACACGGGAATCGTACTCCATTATAAATCCGCACGAGATTGCACGATTAAATTAACAATTAAATTAACTTCGCGCCGAGTCCTATAAAAAACTTAAAGAAATTGCGATTATCGGAAATTTTTCTCAATCGGGCGAGGATAAAGAGACTGCGTGCAACATGAAAATAAATTGAAAATGAAAATAAATCACAATGCATTGACTCATGTCGCCTTAACCCGTTTAACAAACGCGGCATTGGATCGGAAATTTTAACAACTAACCGTACCCATAAGCACACACGGGCCGTCTGTGCAGCCATTTCGGCTAATTCGTATGTGGCCGGTGCCGTTTTCTCATTTGCAGGTGAGCGACTACCTGCGGAAACAGGTGTTGGAGGCGGAGCAGGCCGGCGCGAGCGAGAACGAGGACGTGAAGAAGATGCTGGCCGACCATGACAAGCTCGTCGAGGAGATCTTCCAGCACGAGGACAAGGACAAGAACGGCTTCATCTCCCACGACGAGTTCAGTGGGCCGAAGCACGACGAGCTCTGAAGTCTTCGTCCCGCATCACCGCGTCTCCGAGCGCCCGTCGTCGGCGTCGCCGTTGCCGTCGTCGCCGCCACCGACGTCGACGACGATACCGCCGCGCCCCGCGCCACCACGTGTTCACCTCTGTATAGAATCGCCTCTTCGAGTCCCCTCCCGGGGATTCCCGAAGGACTCACCGATCAATCGTCCCGAGCACACGCGCGCTCGGACTCGCAACCAGACCGACAGGATTCACCGGCAGGAGCGAATTATTCAGACGACTCCGCAACATCGACACTCACCATTTCGCGAGAGGGATGCGACCTTCGGGAACCTTCGACTCGCCCAGTCGCCGTCGCGTCCTCGATCGCACGGGGCTTCCGGGGCTAGATGGGGGAGGGGGCGGTGGTAGGTTCGACGAGAGAGATCGACAACGAAGTTTGCGGATTCGCAAACCGAGTGAAGCCGGTAGATCCGACCCGAGAAGTATCTCACGAGGCCACGAGGATTGCTCTCGATGGCCCTAAGTACCCGTTAGCTCGAGGATTCCTTGATTTTTTCCCGAAGCCCCCGGACGCTCTCCCGGGACGGGGAGATGCGATCGCGTTCCGTTGGAATAGGAGAACCGCGGTGACATCCCGCGAGTCCCATGTTGAGCGCGCAGCATTGCTCGAGGAGAGTCGCAGGGGGCAATCTCCGGTCATTTCCGGCGCACTTGCCACCAGGACCCTTCCCTGATACAACTTACCGGGAACGTCCGCGAAATTTTTGTCGGCCCACGTTTAACACGCGTCTTAATTGATTAAACGCTGAAAATATGCATTTTAAAGCGAATTTTGATCGTTGTATTAAGAAATCAGAATCTCTTGCTGGAAGAAGTACGAGGAAATTTCAAGTCGCGGAAAGCTCTCGTGGGAGATTATTTCTGCGTATCACTTGTTTTCTTCCTACAAATTAATCGCGTTAGGACTTTTTGTCGTGAGAGATTGCTCGTGAAAATTATTCCTACCGTCGCGTAACCGTTCGTTAATCGTTCCTGAGCAATTGACTTGCTCTTCGCGAAATTCTGGCGGATATTCCTAAGCGGGCGAGCGACATTCCGGCGCGACGACGCTGCTGTACATTTTACTACGATATTCCAAGAAAAGAGATGGAAAATGCACGAATGCCTGCTCGAGTGACTGCACCCCCGTGACGTGAAGTGAGAGGCTGTTTCCGCGATATATATAATATATATATATATATATATATATATATATATATATATATATATATATATATATACATAAAAGTATATATACAAAAAAAAAGAGAAAAAGAGAGAGATTGATGACAGAGCGAGAGAAAGGTGTGAGACGGTGAGAGTGTTTTTTCTACATGATTATAGATGTTAGCGTAACTCAAAAGGCATCGACGTATGGTGCTATTAAAATCACACGCATTCTGTCCCGCTCTCCAAAAGCTTCCATTCTGATCCCCCACAAATCTTCCCAATCCCCGAAACCATAATGACCCCCTTGCTCGCGAGTCGCGCGATATTCACGTCAGGTGACGAGAAGAGGATGACGAGAAGAGGAAGAGTGAAGTATCACGAGGACGCGCAATGGAGATGAATGTGGTCGCTCTGAAATGCGAGCCTCCCCTATTGTCGCTATCATTATTATTACATTTTAACTGATACGTTTTTATTACTACATTATATTGTATGTTGTTAAAGTTGGACGAAGGTTAATTAATAAATCGTGTGTCTCGAGCACAGTTTGTTATATAACCACCTCTCTTTCAATTTCTGCATCCCCGTCTGAACATTCTCATTCGTGATTACGCGAGAATTCGATTGAATCTCTATGCGATATATTATGGTCTTCTTTTTTTGTCTCGGTCAATATTATAATTATTACGCAAATCCTTGTTTTACTCAATAACAAGGTCTCGCGATTTAATTTCGACCGTCATTAAAATTTATCATTCCATATTAAGATTAATATTAAGTACTCACCTCTCTCTCACGCGTAAGATGAAACTTTGAAAATCCAAAGTTTCTCAAACTGGATAATTGAGTTCTGCTTGCTTGACGAAGAACTTTTGAAAGGAGCATGCGACGAATCACGATGCCACCGTGTAGAACTGCTTCTCGCTTTATTTGAAGAATCATTTCCACAGAAAGTTACAATGAATGCGATTATGCGGCCGTACGGGACGCAATAGTAAAATGATGATTAAGGTAATTAAGTTGTGTGCTTCCCCCGCAGGGGCGAGTCACGCCAACGCGGCGTGCCATCGATGCGTTCGCTGTATTCGACAGAAATCGTTCCGCAGTATGGTTACTTCGTACGCAAAAGAAAAGAAAAACAGAAAGAAAGTAATAGTAAAAGAAACAGCTGTCTCTTCGTTATCATTATAACGGATCGCGTGTTGCGAGTAAAAGCGTCGTTCGCTCTTAGATATATTCGATCGATCATAGAAAATTCGTCGAGGCACGTGTTGGTGTGATTACGTACGATTATTAGTCGAGAGTGTCGACCCCATGTCGTCCGAGGCTCGGGTGAATCTTCCGAGAAGTACCGAGTACACAATACGTTAAACATACATATACGATAACGCAAATAACGCGTGTGCGCGCGCGGACACGCACCTAAATCTTCCGAAGGAAAGGGGAAGGAAGCCCTGCGGAAACCGCGCCGGGCGCGAATCTCCCGCGAGATTCTCCGCGCGAGATAAAGAAATTTTAGCGAAACCGGAGAATTTCCACGTGACAGAGAGACGGAGAGACGTCTGCGAAGAACGAGAACGCTTCTACAAAGCGGAGGAAAATTCCTAGCGGGATAGACTCTCTACAACGCGCGCGATATTTTCGAGAGAAGAAAGAGAGAGAGAAAGAGGAAACGCCGATCTGCTTGATCGTTCGCTTAAATCTAAATCGTCGATCGATACTCGTCTTCGAACCTTCGCGACCAGACGTGCTTCTTTTCATTATTTCCTCCTCCTCTTTCCTCTCGTCTCTTTTCTCCCTTCGTCGGATACACCTGTTATCCTATCTTGATGAGAAGAATCGAACGAGCGTACGCGAGACGCTTCACGCGGACGTCGGAGACGACGTGTCGCGCGGAGTCGATCGACCACGCGTGTCGTTCGACCATCCCGGAGCATCCCGTGATGATGGCGGTGGAGAGACGAGAACTCCTATGTTCCCGAGATCTCGGCGGGGATGTGTCTTGGCCGAGTTTCCGCCGCGTTTTCTCTCGCCTCCTTTGCGCGCCCGAATATCGACGTGCCCCGGCTCCTCCCGTCGCTCCGTCAGTCCCGTTCCGTCTCGTGTCTCGTCGAGGGCATGTCTTCGTGTCCTTCGAGTATTATCACAGTCAGTAGCCCTTGATGTAGGCGGCGATGTGCTTCTTCTCCTCTTCCGAGAGCCCATTCTTCAGCGTTCTACGCACTGAAAGAGAAGCGCGACGTCGCGCTGATGACATTTTTGTCACGTAAAGCCGGAGTAAATGTGGCATTTTGAAGAAAAGTCGGTGCTACCATCGTCTCGAGATTCAGTATCCTTCGTTATGTTGATGTAAAGGGGTTTGCCGTGCTTGTCAGATAAAATGATAAGCGAAATTCTCCAATCTGCGTTTCCAGCATAAAATATATCGATCGTTAATTTACAAGGCGATTTACGCTAGAAAATGTTTCGTATTTTGGTTTTTCGTTCTTTTCTTTTAATGTAAAATCCAAACGCTCGAGGTGATTATTGCAACCGACTGACGCCACTTTTACTCGAGATCTTTCGACTCGCGTGCCGAGAACTTTCTCCAGTCGAAAGAGCGGGATGGGAAAAGTCACACGCGGGAGTGTCATGATTAAATTTGACACAAGCTACTGACGCAGTTGCATTGCATTGCATTCCTGGGGTGACATCCCTGATGTCATTTGCATTCACAGTGTGCGTGCGAATGGAAGAGCGATAGGAAGAGGAGGAAAAGAATGAGGAGAAGGAGCAGAAAGAGGTGTTGGCTGTTTAGACGGCAAAAACCTCGACACGGGGATTACCGTAGAATCATTGTGTGTGCGCCAACGGTATCATAATACCAAAAAGAAGTATGCACAGCGTTATATATGGTATATTAATTCTGTCAGAGGATATTCGCAAGCGATTAGTCAGGCGCTCGCCGTTAGATTTATTTTATCCCGAGTTCTCCTCATTTTATCGTCTAATCTAAATCTAAATTCTTCCGGTATGACGACAATTAATATCTCTGAGAAGCCGCAAAGAAGAGGTGCAATGACCAGAGGTGTTTCGAAGCCGTTTATTCCAATCGCGCGCGCGAGATCGTTCCCTCGAGTAATAAAAGGATTACGCGAATATATTATGATCTACACGGCATTCCAAAGAGCGCGATACGAAGATGAAGGGGAAAACGGCCGAGTTGTAATCGTGACTCGGTGTCCTCGTTGTCGCGCACGATCATCAGCCGCGGACTGATCAGCGGCTGATCCGGCCGAGTGGTCGAATTAACGTTTTTCCGCGCTAACGGCCGTCCGGTTGGCCACGTCGTCTATTCGGACGCGAAATCGTATTAAGCCCGACGATGTCTAATTAACGAGCCGCGATCGTCGAGCTACAACCCGGCACGTGGCCGTTAGGCTCGGCCGGGCTCTCGTGGATTCGACAATTAATTCCGCCGTCGCGTGCGAACAACGACAGCGATATCGTTGCACGAATCCCGCGAAGCGCCGACGTCGTTGAATTCGCGCCGCGTACAGTTTCACGACCGGCGAACTTTCCGATCCGCACGTGCGACCCATGATTCGTTTTACGTGAAAAATAAAAGGGCGACAGGGAGAGGAAGAGAGACGAAGGTGAAAAAACATGCATCGATACGTGCGCGACTGGCAAAAATAGAGAGACGCTCGCGCGCGAACCCCGTCATCGCGGACGTAATCGAGATACGATACGAGCGAGAAGGAAAACACGAAAGGTACAGGAAAGAGAGTCGACACAGAAGTAAATGATTAAACCTCCTCCCCGCTTGTTCCTGTCTGGTTTCGCTGTTTCGCGCGTTTCGCTGGAAATTCCAGCATAATTAGCGATATAATTAGTTGAACTGTTAATGGCGGCGTCTACATGTATATCGGAATTCTGCCGTCCATTCTACGCTCTATTTCGATCACGTCGATTATTAGCCGGGAAGTTAATTTGCCGCTTTGTTGCGGAGATTAGTCGACGCCGTTTGCCGATACGTCGGATGGTAAACAAATCGCCCGAAATGTAGTGATGAAAATCGTCGGTTGTTGGCGGATTTAGGAAATTACTGCAGTAGCTTGATGCCCGAAATGGTATGTGCCTATCATGCGATCGTTGCTGCGCTTTATCGCAATTGTGCCGTTAACGTAGCCGATGTGTAACTTGCGCGATCGCGGCCGTGCCGTGAGGGTCGACCGGTGTATTTGTTGAGAAGACTCCATGTCGAGAGACCACGAAATTTATACAGGACACAAAAATCCATTTCGGCCGAGAGATATGAATTTTTGAAAGTACTAAAATGTTGTTTCGCGAAAGCACTCGGGCGAGCCAAAAGAGGAGCGAAAAAACAAATACCCATTCTTGTTCTATACAAAATTTTTCGTTTCTAAAATACTCTTATAAATATTGTATTAAAAAGAGACAGAGGAGAAAGAGAGAGAGAGAGAGAGAGAGAGAGAGAGAGAGAGAGAGACGAGACAGGGTGGAAGAGAGATTTGTTTTTACGGCTAAAATTTTGAAAACCATTGTGATAAAATTAACAGAGTGCTCAATAGCTCTTGTACGTTTCGATTTCGCGCTCCAAAATGTCATAGAAGCGAGCAATAAGAGTCACAAAGAGTCCAGCACGGTAAAGAGGGATCATCGGGATTTCAATTTCCACTCCTGGGTTGACTTCTCGTTACGATTAATCTCGTTTATTAGAGTCAACAGCGGATTAGCGCATTGTCCAGTAATTATGGTTTCATTGCGGCTCGCAAACAGGATCGATAGCAACACGGCCGCGGCGAACGTGTTTCGAAAGTACCTACTTCGAAGATAATGATGCTATATCATCGCGAGCCCTCGATATCGATAATATCAGTTTCTTTGACCTGGCATCGCGTAACAGAGGACTCTTGCGATACGACCACAAACCACCGACATTGTACGTGTATTCTCTTACTTTGGTGATTACTCTCCTATCCCTTTGATCCCTTATTATCCTCGCAATAGCCGCATGACTCGCCGCGCTCTCCGAGATAGGCGCGGTGAATAAATACGTGGATAAAGAAAATAAAATCGCGCACGATTTCTCTGCCCACGGCGACCAGCGGCGATGATGTTTCGAGTCTCGATATCTGTCTGTTTTTTTTCGAAACGTAAATTACAACGGGAACTGCTGATATATTTTATAATAACATTTACTTTACTGCCGAGTGTGTGACTGATTATTTAACTCGTAGAAAAACACCGGATTATTATTTGTCGACTATCAGGTACAAATCATTGTGATCCTTTCATCGCATAATTACATCCGAGTTGAAAATATTTGTAGGCAATAGCCGTAATTTATCTTTTTTCCGTCCCCTGATTGATTACGGTAACCGGGTTTTTAGTTATTATGCAATTTTGATGCAAACAATTTCCCTGGGTAAGCAAATGCTAAATTTAATGAATATTAAATTCAATTACTTATTATATATAATTTACGCTAAATACCACACACACACACACACACACACATATTCGCGATCAAAAATTAAATATCAAATTTTAATGAATTTGCGCGCGGGAATACGCGACAGCTCGATGAACATCAAAACGAATAATGCGTTTACTTTTCACTAAAAATATTCTTCGAATGTGAATTCTTCGGGCGGAATCTTCGCACAATTAAACTTTCGGTTTTCAATCGCAATACTCTCCCTCCATCTCCGCCCCTCCCTCTCTTTTTGGCAACCCGCCGCGCAACTGCCGTAATGCGCGAAATATCAAGCCGCAGATTGACAGTTCATGTTCGACGTGACGTTAGCGCGTTAATCGACATTGCGGTTTACGGTCAAACGATCGTCTATCGATAAATCATTCGACGCGAATCCAAGCGGGGGTGCATCAATAATTTCGTTAGGAAACCACTGTGTCGGTCCGGATCAATGCGGACGTTCTGGCGAAAGCAGGCGTCCTTTGCGGGTCAGGTTCTTCCGACGCTCTTCACGTGACACGGAGATTTTCGGGCCTTAAGAGCGTTAAAAATAATTACATTCGTTTACCGCGTTTGTCAGTGAATTCATCTGAGAGAGCTTACGAAAAAGCAGTGTGCTCGAAAGGCGCCATTCCTCTTTCATCTATTCACTCGCCCATCTCTTATGCGCATAACATTGTCTCTCTTAGAGTCCACCCGAGTTTTTATTTTACTCCTATTCTTTAGAAAGGATTGTTTCACAACGATTCGCGAGGGTTGTGGTACATAGCAGAATATAAGATTTAAGCAGTAAGCAAATTGGTCAATCAAGTCGAAAATTTCAACATGATAGTCTTACGTTTCCGATAAATGTTAAGTGTCAGGTCGATTAATTCATTTACGGCACGAGTTTTGCGTTTTTCTTCATGCTACGCGCTTGAATAATCTGGCATCGTGCATTTTAGGGACGCGGTTTTGGGGAGAATAACGTCGAGAAGCGGCTTTTATACCTCGAGTGACGTGTCGAAATGCGATAGGCGCGGTTGAGCGTATTTTACGTGAAACAGGTGGGATCTTTCGCGCGTCTCAGGTCGGCTTACGCGGAAGCACGTCGATCGCATCTTTTCTTCGTAAAGACGCGCGCGATCCTGCTCTCTAAGAGTTACACTTAATAAATATGCATGCGTCCTCGTGTGCAAACGCGACGGGAACATTCGTATCGAGCTGCAAATATATGCTAATAGACGAAAAGCACTGCGGGGTTTATATACCAAGCGCCGGGAAAGTACGCATGCAGGCAGGCGGAGGGCACATATTCGCGTTGCGTAAGTCTCCATTAAGTCGACAAACTTAGGCAGACATGCACACAATGCACGCATACACACACACACACACACACACACGCCGCCGACGTAAGTTCTCTGTTTAGGGAGCGAACTTTTTACTTACCGCAAGCAACGAGAGAACGCAGTTTAGTCCCACTTACGCATATTACGGGGGACTAAAATTGCGCAAAGTTCAAGGCGCGATCTTAACGCGTTCGGTTATCCGAAAAGCGAAGCGCCCAAGTTTTCGAACGGGTTCTCACTTTGCTGCGCGAGCAGCCCATAATGTGCACGCGTTTCCTAACGCCTTTCGCGCTAACTTAGTTCCGCTGTATATTTCGTTACTGTTAGCATTTTCTTTTCCTTCTTTTTACGACAATCCAAGCTACGCGACCCGAGAAGCCTATTTTCACAAGATCACCGGAATACGCTTGTCGGCCGGGGGCTTCCCGGGAGACGGTCTCGTCGTAATTTCAGCGAATTTCAATTTCTCTCTAATGAATATGCATCGCGACAGGTGAACTAGGTATTATATAATAGGGGCAAGGTGCAATTTTAACTGCTCTCGAATCACGTGCGCGATATCGATCAGAATGCGGTATCGAGTTTTGGATCGGGTTAATTCGAAAAGAACTCTGCGCGGTTACCGTCGACCTCTTCTCTCTTCGCATATTGATGACCAATAACGGTCTCGCCGTTGAATGTAAACGACGCGGACGCGAAATTGACACGCGTTTTTGGCATCAAAAACTGTCTCGAGTATCGGAAGGAAGAATATGGTCACGCATGGTTCGCGAAAGTCATGCGGGAAGCGCACGCCATGCTGGACGAGAAGAGGAAAGAGAGAGAGAAAGAGGGAGGGAGGAAACGTGAAAAGCACCGAACCTTAATCGCAGAGCTCACGAAACCTGGCCCATCAGGGTTGATACCCCTCCGGCGTGGTGTTGTTCTCCCGGGTGCGCGATCGCTTCACTGTCAGGACAGAAAGAAGAAAGACGCAAGAACGCCAGGCCACCCCACGTTATACAGCAAGCGTCGCCGAATACGACGGGAATCGTAACTGAAGTAATGTTATCGAGGAGAAATGCGCCGTCCGAGTCAAGTGTCGAGATAGAACGGCTGAATTCGCCGGGTTAGTCGTCGTCGAAGATGATAGTGAGACAGAGACAGAGAGAAAGAGAAAGAAGGAGATCGTCACCGTGACTTTCATGATACCAGGTAAGGCCAAGGATAAAACGGAGTCAGAGACGGAAAGGAAGAAGCGGGACAGATTCGCCCTCCGACCCCGCGAGATATCTTTGGAAAGTCGTTCGCAGCCCAAACATGTCGTCGTAACGACGAATGTTGCGTCCTTTTCTTTGCGATAATTATTCCTTCACTTCGATCCCCCCCACAGTGACAATGCCAATCTCGCCATTGTTACAATAGACGAGACGAAGAAAGGAATCTGAACACTGATCGCGAATAAGAGATCGCACGTTGCTCAAGTGCTTACTATGCTTCAATCCATCGCGGCGCTTGATTCTTCCAAATTAAAAAACGGTATATACGTGTGCGGGAGAATGTGCCAAAGAGATTGGTTTGTTATTTGATGTCGCTACGTCGACTTAATCGCGGGTTATAGCTGTTTAAAGCTGCGTCATATTGACGTCAAACTCCGGCCCGGCGTTATTGTTAGTACCGTAACTTCACTTGTCGTAGCGACTTCAAACGAAAACCATTGCAAAGGGGAAATTATCGTGCTTCTAATGAACGTTAGATTATCCTTCGTTGCATTAAAGATCAATTAACATACTAGTATAAATGCGAAATATTAATTGTTGTGTTTACGTTAAAGTGAAAATCAACCTTCATTTGAATCAATAAAAAACACGTTGGTTTGAGTCTGTAACGCGAAGCGTCAGTTTTATGTCAGTTTCACCGGCATAAAGTGCGATAAAAGAAACGCAAGTACAGAGAGTCTGGATTTAGGCGTTCGTGTGCAGGCAGATAATTACCGTGGCAATTTGCAAACTGGTAGAGGATCTTTCTACACAGTTTCACATGAGTTCTACTCGTACACGAGTGCCGGACACCTGAATCCAGATATAGCCTGTGTATATCAGGATATATCTTATATTATGTTATATATCTTATATGTCTTATATATCTTATGTTGTTATATGTTGCACATATAACATATCAAATATATCACCAGTAGAGAGCCAATGACATGAGTACATTATAAATTTGCCGTCTACCGTATCTTTGGTGTCTTAAACTTCAGTTCAGCATTGAGATGATCAATGAAGATCAGCATGGCAATCGACGTGTTAAGAGATTCACGCACGATATCACCGATGTCATGTAGGACAATGAAGACGTACTACATTCTTGCCACGTAGTGTGGAGTCGATTTTCACTTCGGAATTTATAGAGCTCGAGCGATTTCTTTAATGCTGAGTGAAAAGCGGCTTGTACAGCGGACGCGGTAACGATAGCGCGAACGTTCAGAAACTCGCAAGACTACGAGATCGAACGGGGAAGCGTTTCCCCGCGTTCGCGAAGTATAAGTCGCTTTTGTTCAAGTTAAATACGCCGCTTCGCCTCCGTATTCAACAACAGACGGCTACATGCTCGACGCGCGCTCGGTCGCGCATCGAACGGGCTTATCATAAGTATCGGCGGAGGAAAGATCGGTCAACGCGCTCGGCGATCGGATTACGGCGAGATTTACGCGCTAACGGGAGCCCGGCGGAGGATTATTTCGACTTCCTGCGCACACCGGTATCGATCACCGGGCGGACAAAACAGAGAAGCGGAGAAACGCGGAATAATCTGCCAGCATTACGCGCGCGGCGTTACGTTATCTCGACCGGATTGTTGGATATTCCTTCGTTGTGTGGGCGTATCTATATGTGTGTTTATGCCATACACACATGACGCTCGCGAACACTCAGCTGCCGCTAACGAAAATGCAACTTCCCGCGAAATTCCTCTCTGATCGATATTGGGCGCTGCGCCCATGTGAAAACACGGAGTCGAGTCTCGCGGAGCGACTTCCCGTTTATCGGGTTTCCTTAACGGAATTCGACGGCCGGCTCTTTATTCGGTGGAACTCGGACGGAATGCTTAATTATCGAAATGGCCAGCGTCGGACGCTGAAGGGTTTTGGATATTTGAATTCCGTGGCGACACAAACTTCGTTTTCCGCGTTACACACAGAAAAAATTATTTTTGTATTTAAAACTAAAGTATCTGGTACACATACGATTTAGTCGGCATTACCGTGTTTTTTACTTGTGTCAAATAAGATTTATTAGTGAGAAAGCAAAGCGGCAATGAAATTTTTTCGTTACAATTACCAAACATTTCATTGATCGAAATTTAACTAAATTTTTGTCTAGTATATCAAATTTTCGTTTCAAAAACAAAATCTTTTTTCCAGTGCACTGCAAACCTTGCCCGAAAATAAGAATTTAATTAAATTTAGTTTAATTATCGTGATGTTTTTTGACCTGTGAGAAGCTCGACGATTTCGGTATATCGCGGCCTTTCACTTGTGATTCTTATTAGAGAATTTTTTCGAGATCAGATTAGGTTTCAAGAAGAAAAAAACAATTTTTCTCTTCTCCAAAATCGTCCAAGAATATATTCGAATCGAAATTTTAGTTTTACATCAATCCTACAAATTCTACTACAAACTTGAAAGATCAAGAAAGATCAGAAACAATGCAAAATTTCAAGATACAACACTATTGTGTAAGCTATTGACCCATCTTTGATGCAACTCGTTTTCTCCAAGAAGTTGAGGCTCTAAGAAGAATTTATATTTCAGAATTATTTAACTTTTTATTATCTCAATATCCTACATTTTGAATTTCTATTTCTTATTTCAATAAGCATTGTATTAATTTAACTGCAAATAGAGATGTGCGATAAGTAAATATTAAATAACCTGATAAAGATTGATAGGTAAATGTGTGGATAAATAAAACAATATATTTTCTTCCTTCATAATCTCTTTGTCTTTTTTTCTTATTATTGACATTGGAAATCTTGATAGGATTTAATAGGATTTATCTTAATAGGAAGTCTTAAAAGGATTGAATAAAAAGAAATTCAAGAGCAGAAAAGCAATTGTGTGTTTGATGATGCTGCATAAGCTATGTTGCATGTCAATAGAGATTTCAATTTAGACTCCGTAATTTTAGCAATGATAAAAACAGTGGTGAAAAGAAGATATTAACAGACGTAAACAAGACGCGACTCGCGAATCTCAAGAGAGAAACACATTATTAGACTACTATATAATTTAGAAATTTATACTAGACTCCAACGTCGGTAATCACTGTTGTAAATTATTTGCAACCTTTAATTGAGAACGTAATTAATTGCAGATTAATATTCATGGGCTGTTATTCTCTGTCACGATCGATACTTCTTACTGTATAAACTAAACATACGTTGACGTAGCAGAGAGACTCACGAAGCCATTATTCATCAAATGATAATTGGCCACGAATACCGACACCTAAATCTCGACTCGGGTATCTTCTCATTTTCGGTGAATTCATAAAACATTGTTTCTGTTAAAGTCGGAAACGTCCTACATAATAAATGATTCGACATACCTGAAGATGTATGACGTATCGCCGCCTGCTTCCCAGCATCCTGCGTCCTTCGTCCTGGCTTTCCAACTCAACATCCTAGCTCCACAAGCTGCACCATTGTGGTATACCGGACATTTGCACCTGGCACTGACACTCGCGTGTATACGATTCGATCGGAGGGACACTGGTTAATTAACGCGATACCGACTGAACGTTTCAAGAGTCAACGAAATGTCTGAAGCATCCGATGGAAAATGTAAACAATAACTCACCGACACGCGTCGCGGTATACTCGTCGCTTAACGATCCGAGACGAAATGACGCGATCACGGAGAGGTGAGAGACGCGCGAGAGTTCCAAATAATCGCCTGTGAAAGGACAAAAACGTCCCCATCATTCGCCAACTATACATAACGTATAAAATCAAAATACACTGAAGCTTCTAAACGGTTTTCTAACTTATTAGGATGGTACGTATTGCAAGTTTCGCGCGTAGCATTCGCCAATCATGATCGGTTAACGCGTGATTATTAATTAACGCCATGTTTCCGATCGATTCGTATCTTCCTGAGGGACCATCGAATGTCTGGCCATGATTACGACGGAAAGTTAACTCCAGGACGGATTACAGGACGCAGGATATAATGGCGGTGGAACTCACAACATCTTCTCTTTTTCTCATCTGTCTTGAATCTATAATTTCTATCCAAATTTCTAATATCAATAAAAAGTAATAAAGAGACCAGAAGAAAAAAAAGTGTTGTTTTATCTAACCATTCTTATCCGTTAATCTTCATTAGATTATTTGATATTTTCATATGGTGTACATATTTTACTTGCAATTGAGTAAATTATACATAATTCATGCATTGCTCACTGAAATTGAGGGTAGAGATTAAACGCAGGTAGAATATTAAGATAAACGTGAAATAATTTTCATATAAATTTTTCTCCCTCCTTTCTTTTCTTCTTTTTTTAGACTGTGATAATGTTATATCTCGAGATTTTTCACTATGGCCCTTCAAAAGTACGAATTTGCAAGGTTAATGTAAAATCAACATTGAAATTAATAATTGCACGTTACTGTCATTTATAGTTTTATGTACACGCACAACTGCGTTTGTTGCGTCCGCAAGCTCCGCTCCAACTCATTGCATTTTGTAGTTTCGTGTTTTGCGTGTAATCTACATTGCGAAATGTCGGTCAGTTGCGAAAGCAACTACGTCGAGGTAGTTGCACCAACGTCAGTGTCGAAGTGGTGCTAATGAAGTGCACATTTAAGAAACGTCAAATCGACAACACGCGTGTTACGATAGCATGTTCGATCTAGGGCGTTGACGCCGACATCTCCAAACTTCTCGCTTATCGATCGACTTCGGTGACCCACCAGCGGACCTAACCATGGGCCGTTCTCAATAATGCACACTTCGTGGCGAATAATTCAAGACTCTCGTGGCACCGAAAATTATCGGAGAATTCTGTGGCTAGTGCTCGACATTTTCCGTGGCTGATTGAACTTTAACGACAAATTTTCACGCCATTTGCAAATCTCCACTTTGCCCCATTACGTTCGAATTTGCGAATAATATCAAAACATATGCAGATTGAAGTCAGTGAGTAATATGAGGGAATATTTTAGACACTTTCCTTCGTTTTTCTATTGAATGAATTATCGCATAACTTTCATCGCGCCAAGATTCGTGACGATTACGTTTTGTTCTTTCCGCTATCTCACAGAGGAATCCTACAGAGAGTCATCGATTCCGCGACCAGAGCTCGATCGATAAAGGAAGGAGAGGAGAATCTAGGTGCTGGGTGCTGGGGTCACACTTACAAGACTTACGATCGGCGTGTCTGGTCCTCTTGCGCTCGCGTGGCGTCGTTCTGGTGGCCGGTGCCTTCGTCGCGGTTTTCACCAGAGACTCCAGCAGCTCGTCCACGCCGTCGGCCAAGTTGCCGTTAGTGCTCTCGTCTCTGAGCACCGGACCCAGTGTGATTATACGTCCTGAAACAGAGCGAGATTTGCCATTTTATCTAGATATCAGCGAAGATCTATCCTTTAGCGGTACTTTCCGTATATCATCAGATTCATCTCTCCTCTTTCGTATTATTTGTGTAAAATATCAAACAAACGTATTTCCTTTGTGGGTGGACAGAGTTCAATCGTGTCGAGGGACGAACAAATTCGCGTTCAATGAGCGAGTTATCATGTCAACGATTATTTTCCGACGTGTGTGTCTTTACATATTACGAGACATTATTGCAGGCAGTTTGTCGCGGTTATACTCTCAAAGAGGAAGACGCATTTAATCAAAGACAATGCCCCGTAGGAAGTCGCGTGCATCCACGAAATTCGTCTTCCGCGTCGTCTCTCTTATTTCCTATTCGGAATAGTCATCCCCCGTTTGGCTCGCCGGGCAGAAACTTCGAAACTGTCAAATGCACAGCATTTCTTTCAGAGCTTCTTTCAAACTCGCCCGGGAAAAGCGACGGCGAGTATGCGCTCTCTCGATACAAGTGCCGCAGGAAAGGAGAGAGAGGCGACGAGAGATAGAGAGCCAGGCGAGAAGGGTGGTAATAGAATTTTCATGGGCGAGACGGAAAGAGGAAGGGTCTTTAAAGTCTCGCTTATTACGCGTTCTTTGACGACAGTGGGTCAAATCCAGACAATCGTTTCCGTGATCGCTCTACCGTACGGAATGTACGGTAGAGCGCTCTCCCGAGCGATTTCCCGTTCGCTGATCTGATACGCGTCCGGAGATCTCGATAGCGCTACATACGTTCCGCTTAATGGATTCTCGTTGCGTAAGCGATCGAGTTGTGAGAGTCGTAATGATAATAGGAGTAATAGATTTCTAATCTCAACGTTCGAGATCGCGTTCGTAATATCGTCGTCACGCAGGCCGGCCGGGCTAGCCTTTGAAACAAATTGTCATCGTCGCGGAGAAAGAGAAAGAGAGAGAGAGAGAGAGAGAGAGAGAGAGAAAGAGAGAGAGAGAGAGAGATCTCGCGAGGCTCTTCCAGGTGTTCCGGAGCAGAGTGCCGTCATCCAGCTGGAAACGCCGGCACGACTTAGACGGGGAGCGTTTAGATACTTTATGTCGGGACATACGCAGGAATAAAGGGGAGAAAAGTTATGACGGCTGCAGCCGCGGTAATGCACGTGGGCGGTGGTTGGGTTTACGAGCTGTACAGGGGCAGGGGGTGTAGATTCCAACCCTTGTTCTTTGAGTCGGCTCAATCCCCTGCGTATCTTCCCCGCGCGAGAAAGAGGGCGGGAGACAACGGGGAATAAAAATTCCACGTTTCTCCGGGAAAGTGGTGATTCGTGGTTACAACCTAATATAGTCTTACGAGATCCGGGACGTGTCAGTCGTTCCAGCTGGATCTTGCCCTCGGGACGACATCGCTGTGGGATTTGATCGTACGTAACGACGAGCCTTCGCGCCCTAAGTAAACACACCTTCCTCATAGCGAGGATCCGATTGTCATATTTATTTGGCAATGTCTCGGGATATTCGCGCGTCGAGCATCCAGCGATGGAATCGACGGATTTCTCGACCATTCGGTTAAAGCCAGGCGAGATTTTAGATCAGTGCAAAAAATCTGTCGTGTTCATCGAATAAAAAAAAACGGATCATCCAATTTGGAGGGGTTAATTATTTTTACGAATAACAACATCGAATAGATGTTTTTTTTACATTTAACGAGGATTTTTTGCTTCCCTTTCGATGTCCAACTTTCTTACGAGATTTTAGGAGAAAGATGACAAGCCTTTTGCTCTAATCTAATATGCATGAGATCTTTAGTTCGCGATATCAATTTGCAAGTCGTGTTTTATTGTAAACGGTCAGATTCATGCTAGACTAAAACGCTACGCTCTTCGACGGCGATTGATCTTCGGGCAGCTCTCCAATGGCGCGAAAGAAATGTGTTATAGACTCGCTAACTACACTCGATGAATATTTATTCGCGCAAGATAAAGACGGTAAAGGGAGAAATTGATAGAGTTGGAAAGAAAATCGACGAGGAGATGTGGAAGAAGGGGAGGGAGAAGAGGAAGAAGAGGAGAAGCGCGGCAGAGATAGCCAGAGTTCGCGAACAATGTTACAATAAAACTTACAACATCGGAGAGTCCGACGGAATTCTTTCGGAACGAATTCAAGGAATAAATTTCTCAAGGGCTGTTATTTGCGCGATACTTCTCCGCGCGCCGACTCGAATAATATCCACGTCGCTTCGTATATTCCCCTTGGAAGTTAACTACTTTTAAATTCTGCCCCCCTGAGACGAAGTTACCGTCTTACGTAGCGCGCGTAAAGCGCGATAAAGAGCGAGCCGGGTGGAATTCTCGGTTGAGAATTTTTCTCTCATGAATACAGAATTTATAAAGCACAACACCCGACCGCGCCGAAGACACCGCGCGTCCCTCACTCGCGCCACCGAATGTTAATGCTACTTACAACCGAGTTACATTTACGGCTTAACGTACACGGCGAAGGGAAGCCAAGAAGGAAGGAAATGGTCTCGAACGTCATCGCGAATTTCGACCGGAGAAAATGTCGCGCACTGCATAAAAGTGAGACTCGCCGTCGGTGAAGCTCACCGCGCGTGCGGGGGCAATGAAGATAACGAACGGCGTAGACTTACGGTAACGCCGGTAAGTTCCACGTTATAGTTCGTCTAAACACGAGGAAGGAGGGAAAGAAAACTGGATCTGAGCACGCGCGCGCGAACGCGGAGTATAATCACAAGAACGGCGACGCATTTACTTCTCGTTTTCCGGTAATGTCATCAAATGACCCGGCGCTATCCTTAAATCTCGCCTGCAAGAGCCGCTGCTTAAGGGCGACATTTATCTCGGGCGCGCGCGCGCGCCACCGCCACCACGGCCGCCACCGCCGTCGCCGCCGCCACCGAGCTAGAACATTACACGGAGATGAGGAGAAATTCTCGCACTTTGTTCTTATCCGTAGCGGAATGGTCGACGTGGCCGCGCCTTTTAGAGCCGTGCGCGAGTGAAGCGTTATTTTCGCGCGGACTTAAATAGAGGCTAGAAGACCGCCGCGTCGTGTCCCGTCGTGATCGCCCGCGGTGATAAAATCTCGTTCGTCTGATCGCGAGGAGCAAGAGCGGCCCGGCTTGTACTTCTTGCTTGATTCATGAATACACTTCGCTGTATCCCCCGTTGTACAGGATGTCGCGAGAGTCATGCATTTCCTACTCTCCGAGAGCGCTTCCGCTTACTGTGTACTGTCGGTAGCAGTATTACGGTGTATTACGGTTCGCTCGTGTGTCCCCGCGTGTGTGCGTGCGAGCCTCCGTGCGAGCGTACGCGAGTTTTAAATCGATTTTCTCTTAACGAGAACCGAGAGCTCCATTAATCGTGTATGATATTCGTACGTGTAATATATGAATGTATTAAAAATATCCTTCGGCGCGCGAGGCGGGAGAGACGTACACTCTAGGGTATTTATTATATTATGTCGCTTGATGGAACACATAATGGACTACTACATATTTCAACGTAAAGTGGCTATATAATGTGATAACGCGTGCCTCGAACAATTCATTCGCTTAAATAGTGTATCGTTATTGACATTATAGAATAAAATAATACGTATACTCTTTGCATACTAGCTGCACCCGAAATGCCACGATGTATACTTAAAAAAAAGAAGAACGTCGGAATAAACCGAAACAATGAATGTGACGCGCGATGGGAAAACGATAAAAATCGACGCGAGAGTACTGAAACAGGAGGAGGGCAGGAGTGCGGGGAGAAAATTTGACTGAACTCACCGTCCTTCCTCTGTCTTCGCCATGGTAATGTGCCGTGAATACTTTCGACGTCTGAAATGTCACTGCCAAGTAGTTGCCTGAGTTCCGCGTCCGCTCGGTCCTCCTTTGTGCGGAACTTGCCGACCTGCGACAAAAGCGAGATCGCGATTGTACAGTTAACTCGCGAGAAGCGCGTCCTACAATTTTACGCGCTGAGAGATAATTACGAAAAGAAAAGAAAGATCAGTGCGGCTGTTATAGGCATCTCTACTGATGGAGTCGTACGGACTGAAACAGGAATCTCTCGCGGGTCACAGATTCGGGATAAGAGCGGCGCGAGCAATGGCGAGTCTAACCGACGAAATCCGCCATAAATGTTTCCGGCGGAACACGGCGGCGAGACGGAAATGCTTTACCTCCGTTATCATCTTCCCCCTGGTCTTATTGCGCTCCCGATGATTGGCTTTCTTCTCGAGCTGCTGTATCACTCGTTCCCTGGTGGTCCTGTACTCCAGAGCGAATTCGGACACGATCCTGCAAAACTCGTTGGGTTTCGTGTCTTGTACCCTATGCAGCGGTATGCCGAGCCACAAGATGAATTTGCGGAAACGATTTATGATACGTCGGTGCACGATGCCCAGGACGATTATCCTTTCGGCGCAGTCGGCGAGAAAGTCGGACATTCTGCGACACAAGAAGGGACGTGGCGATGTAATTTTAAGAAAACGTGTTTTCTTCATTGCGGGCCGTGTTGATTGAAACGTTTAGTAATTCGATTTGCCTTGTTCTCAACTCAAACGGAATATAAAACTCCGCAACTTTGGTTTGTTATCGAGAAACATTTCCGGCTGTAATGAATTGTCTTGAGACTCGCGGGGAGTATGAAGTGTTTAAAGGAGGCGAAGTAATTAAAGGCAGCGCAAAAGGCTGAGGACGCAACGGATCTCTATTGGGGAGTGCAATGGGAATGATTGTCGGCAGAAAGGATGAACGGAGAGGCTCGCGAGGGAGGAGAGAATGCCCTTTCGGTAATTAATGGAAGCCCCACTTGGACAGCAGCCAGGCAGTCTCGCTTGAAAAAAATGCTCTCTTTCTCTTCTTCTCTCTGTCTCTACCAAATTTATCAAAGCCACTCGGGACTTCTTAAACGGCGAGGCGCCTGGAGAAAACTCGTTCGCGGGAGAGGAGAACGCAAAACTAAAGAGAATCTCGGAAATTGGTTTGCGGATGGAGAGAGCGAGAGAAAGAGAGAGAGAAAGAGAGACTCGATGGGAATTATACTCACTTGACCTTCATCATCGTCGAACCATCGTGCTTTGCAATGAGCTTGAGATGGTCCCAAGACGCTTTGCACTCGCTCTCGAGTTTCGCGATGTTCGCCGCCAGCTCGTCGAAATCGATTTTCGAAGCTCTCGTTACCGCGCCGATCTGAAAGCAGAGTCGCGTAAAAAACACTCGACGGGAACAGAGAGAAAGAGAGGAACGGTCGTATTCGCGGTAACGGGGCTCACACCGAAAAAATGTCGAGCCGAATCGATCGCAGCGTCGATCGCGACGGAATTTCAGGGACGATTTAAAAGTTAAAGGCTAAAGTAAACCGTGTGGAGACGAGAGATCGAAGAATATGACGTCTCTTGGAAAAGTCGCGGTGAGCCGTCAGCAAACGACGACTCAATTCGCGTGACAAAGTGCGTAAAGTTTTCCCGGCTTTGCCGGCTGGCCCTTACCTCGGAATAGAGATCCGTCGAATCTGGGAACTTCTCCATCACCATATGGCAGAGGTGATGAAGCAGCGAGTGCTTGTGAACCGTATCCTTCACTTCAGGTACTTTGACGAGGTATTCCAGCTGAAAGCCCTTCACCTGAAAAAAAGAAGGAAGCCGTCGTGACGCGGCGCATTGCCGGGGAAATCGCGTGTCTTGTTACGGCGCTCGTGAAATCTCACGATTTCCATGCACCACCACCCTCTCAGGACAAACGCCGTGAAAAAAACAGCGCGTTAACGCCGCGAGGATAACTTTCATCGCGGTCTCACTGCGATTTAAATTTATTAACGATGCACGGTTAATGTGGATCGACGTGACTGAGTATAGAAAACGGTTCGTTGAAAACACGACAAAGAGAGACCTTGTGTAAAATTTGCTAAATCTGCGTTGCATTCTCAGAAAAATAAACGAGATAGACCAATGAGAGATATACAGCAGGAAAATAAAGCCCTTCTTCTCCGGCGAATGTAGGAATTTTGGAAATTGTTGTGCGTGTCCGCGTACATACATAACGCGCGATCATAGCGTCACAATTTCGGGCAATATCGAATATTTGAGCGGATGCCGATGCTCGTTACGGTATTCGACGTATCTGATACACGGCGCATTCCGGCGTCCTGCAGACAAGACTTCCCGGAAAGTAGCGGGAAAAATAACTTGTCGCGCAGAAAATTGTAAACGGAAAGTAGGAGATGCCGCGCTGCATCAACGGTTTCAACAATTTCGCTTCTTCTTTTGCGTATAATACACCGTGCTGAATACATCGCGTCGCTTGAAGACGAATCCGATGGGAATGTGGAGTCTCTCCGTCGGGAAGTACGTCGGAAAGTTTCTTAATATACAGTTGCCGCGTCCCGTCAAGGCACGTCGAAAATTCTGACGCCGTCGCGTCGAGGATAAAGAGCGGGCCGTGATTGCGGCAAAAGTCCGTATTAAACCGAGATTGTTTTCAGAAAAATGTGGCAGTCGGCCAAACGGCACGAGAGGCATCTCGCAGTTAGACCCAGCAGTTAGAACGAAATTATAGATATCGCCCGGGGTTTCTCGGACCCCGCCGCGCGACCCCGGCGGGGTTGGTTTGTGGGACAGACGGATTAAACGGATATCATTTGGCTGGCATTCAATACTCACCTCATTTCCGTTGAGGAATATCCCGATCGAAAGGAGCGTGCTCAGAATCCCGCGGAACGTTTTATTCACTCGCAGCGTCTCCATGCCCTGCTTCAGATCCATCAAAGGGTCCGCGATTTCCTGAAAATCATAAAGAGATCGTTTCTTCGTGTCGCGTGTCGATCGTCCTCCATGCTGATTTTCATGACCACGCGCGCGCGATCCCGCGCAGCTCACTGGCGTCATTATGCAAGATTAATGTCGTTAGCCGAGCCACGTAGAAAGGCCGGAACCGAGGCGACCAGGAAGGAAGTCGTTCCTTTTTTGCGCCAACAAACGGAAGCGTTCTCGTGGCGCGCGAACGAGACATTCCCGAATTCCGGAATTCCCGAATTGAATGCGAATAGAGAACCCGCAATTTCGCGCATGCCACGAGGGCGTGAAGTTTTGGTCGCTTGCGGCAGATTTTCAAATTTCACGGAGCGAGCTATCTCGCGCTTCCGCTTGCGGTCGGGCGCGTTGCCGGGGAAAGGTCGGGTCGTCGTCGAGTGACCTTTCTCAGCCCGGCGCGTACAATATCGGAATTCGCTATCTCGTCGCCGAAGAAATCGCGCCAGGAACGCTCCTCCGACGCTGCCGACTTCCTTCCCTGCATCGCTGGCATTCCTTCTCATCGTCTCCGCGACACTCCCGATGAAATCCGCTTGCGGAGTCCAAAGGGAGGGCGCGGCGAGAGGACGAGGAAAGAAGCCAAGTTGATTGCCATTATGTAACAGTGGCACTCAACCGTGGACACGTTGTGTGTTCGCGATGTCGTCTTGAACGTGGGCGTGGGTGTGCTTCTCGAGAAATTGCATTTGGTGTATAATGGAACGAAACGAAAAAGGAAAATGAACGGACCGATCCCCGAGGGTTAATCACACGCGCGACGATGGGACAGAAAGAGAGACAGAAAGAGAAAGAGATCGCCTTACCTTTTCGGAGTTTTCAAAATCCAGCTTGAATGCCCACAGCTTCAGCCTCGCCGGCAATTCCGAGATGGAGGTCAAAGTCAGGAGGAATTGTTCGGCCGATCCTAAAGGAAGATCGGGATTGGCGGCCTGTGCCTCTTGTATCCTGGATTTTTCCTCCTTGGTGGGCAGCATCGTCAGGAGTTTCTGTTTTGGGAGGATCGAGAGGGCGACAGGAAGGGAACAAACGAAGAAGAGAAGCCAAATCGGAAATTAGAGAAATCAGAATAAACATAGAAACGAGAATATAGGTGCGTTTCAACTGAATCTCGAGGTCGACCGTGAACAGAAGTTTGGACAATCTTCAAGGTTCCCTGTCCGTCGTAAATTAAAACGGGATTGGTGTGAATGTGTGTGTGTGTGTGTGATCCAGTCGGGCAAATGTTCAATATGCGAGCGAAAATTGAAAAACCGATTAAGTATCTTATGCGTGAGACGATCACGAAGCGCGTGATCGAAATGGGAATTCGGAAATAGCGACATTGAATTTCGCGCCGTGCGGATTTCACGTGAATTCTCATTTTCGTGGGAAAACAAAGATATCGCGAAACGGTTGGGATTGCGTGCACTTCCGAGGGGAAGTCTCTCTCCCGTGAAAATATTGAAAAGTACAATTGTACAATTTTATTCTTCCTTTCTTTCTTTTTTTTTTTTTAATAACACGAATTATTCCAATTAAAGTCCAATCAAGTTAGCGAGCAAGACGGAATGTCGATATTCTCACCTCGATACCTTCTCTGTTCATGATGGTGGCGTCCATCTTCAGGATCGCGGTTTTGATGGATCTCGGCGGCGGTAGTTTCGTCATGCCGATGTTGATGGCGTTCGACCTCTTGTGATTCAGCACGATGATCTCCTTGTTCTTATTCATCTCCTGCTGCTTCTGCTCAGTCGAGAACAGAGAATGGGTTGTCAGTTGTATCGAGAATGCTCACTCACGCGCGCGCGTGACGCGGTTTCGACATTCTCGTTATTAATCCGCAGCACTTGGAGTTATTGCGATCGATTAGTACATATCGATACCGTGCATCGGCATTCTTCCTCCCCCCCCCCCGCAAACACCTCGTTGCAGGGGCACACCTACGTGTAAGTTACGAGTAACAGTGCGACAGGTCACACAGTCTCGCGGGAACACAACGACACGTGGAGAACGTATCGGGGATGTCACGAAAAGAGGATAAATGTAGCCATTCTTCTGACTGTGGAAATGGAGATACACGTGGGCACGCTATGTTGAATGCTTTCCGATTCGAGCACATCTGACCACGCATGTGACGATCAATCCGCTAGACAATTTCACGTTCAAAAATACGATCACACGGTATAATCAAGGATGATATTTCAGCGAAAATCAGCGAAAATCGTTACGATCTGGAGGCACACAAGAAGGTACTTTCGCGTGGAATTTTTTAACGCGAAAGGGAGCAATCACAGACGATCTGGGAAGTGCAAATCATTACAACCACCTGGAGAGTGCAATTGCAAACACCAGAGTTCGATGCGGTTGCGAAACGTAAGCGGAGATAATAATTGTCGATCTCGTGCACACATATACGCACACACTTCGTCACGATGAGTTACGAAAGACGCTCGCTATTAAGCGACCCCTAAGTAGGTTGGCCGATTACGACGAGGAATGCGCGTGAAACAGCAACAGTGCCAACAGCAACAACACAATGCAACGGTAAGGGTACGTACCGCAGTCCTTGAAAAGTGAAGCATCACTCGTTGCTTGCGACGACACCAATCGCGTCGCCCCAGGTAGCAAAAACACAAACACACACACACACACACAGACACACGAGAAGGATGCACTCGAAGCGCATGCACGCGTTAATCACACTCAACGATGGAGAAAACCGCGCGGGCAAGTTAAGAAATTAAGACTCACCTCCTGTAAAATTCCAGCATGCCATTTCGTTCATTTTTTTTGTTTCGTGCGAGCACCAACAACATTGCCAAGAATACAAGAATGAAATTAGTCGTACTGCAATAAACCATCATCACCACCACCATCACCATCGTCCTCTCACTAGCACCACTATTATTCCACAGATATCCGACCGCCGTCATAATCGTTACTCATGTGTGACCGTTATCATAACCGTTATCCCTGCACGATATAGTTACGGTTAACCGCGTTATTAAATTAGCCGATGTTACTGCGCAACGCTTATTTGATAATTACGCACATATGCGGGTCCGGGCATAGCGGAGCTAAGTGAAAGTTAATGCAAATAGGAATCTATTTAATCCGCTCGCTTAATTCACGCTTCTCTTTGCGAGGACGAGGGAGGAGAGACAACAAGTGGAGGGGGGTATATCTCGTTCTACAGACGTATAAAGAAAATTAACGGTAAAAGAAACACAATAAAGAAATGCTCGTGCCGCTCTCTCTTTCTCTCTCCCTCGTTAGAAGGTATGTGACAATTAAAAGTTCCGATCGCGTTGTTGCCGTAAATTGATTTTCTTCGAAAGAAGATTAATTTCCTTAGAATTCCTCTTACAACTGAGCTCGATAGCTCTTTTTCAGCCACTTCCGACCGCAACGATATCGCCACCCCCGTGACACGCCTCGCCCTCTGATTTCCGCGACTTTTTGCCAGCCGTCAGTCCAACAACGCACGCCGCTCGCGGCCCTGATTTACGACTTTACCGAACAAGCGCGAGCGACTGTACACGGCGTCATTATTCGCGTCGAAGGCGAGTTACCCGTTTTGCAGCGTGCTCGTTTCCACTCGCCGTCACCCTCGTCAACCCTGTCGTCGACGGCGGCGCCGGCTTCGCGATTTTCTTCTCGGCGCGCGTTGCCACTTTCTCGCTCTTTTTCTCTCTTTTTTTTTTCACGAGGCCAAGTCGACTGTAATTATCGGCGTACTAGCGCGGGTTCAAAGGGCGAGGAAGAGCGACGTCGGAAACGGCCGGGACGGAGAGGGAGGGGAATAATGTTGGCAGCTTTCAGTGCGCCGCGCGAAAAACACACGCGCGGGCGCGGTGCACTTTTCGCCGCGATTTACTTGCGTACACACGCGAAATGTACAGGTGAGAGGAAACCGATATAACCGCGACGTGTAATTACTGCGGTAATTAACGACGGCGCTCCTCTGCAGCCCGGTTGGTTGCGATGCTGCACCACAATGCCGGTCGGGGCGAGGAATTTTTCTAGCTTTTCGCCGCGCGCGCGCGCGAGAGAGAGAGAGAGAGCAAGCATTTGTAATTTCTATTATTTTCTCGCCGACGTATTGTTGATTCTTCCGGCACACATACGTCTCTATGAAGCGCACACGCACACACACATACACACACACGCGCACGCTCACGCACGCACACACATCAGCGTGCGATTCGCTGATTCTCGTGGTCGCGAACGATCGTATAAGAACCAGCTGCTCTCGGCAGCGAGCGATTGCCGACGAGATACATGTGACTCTCGATGTTATTATTAAATGACGCGTCAGCAAACGCAATGGGAAGGCGTCATCCCCTTTAAACAACCCCGCAGACTGCCGCACTGCCGACAATCGCGTAGAGTTGGCGTGCCCGCGAGATACGCACTCGCCAATAGCACGAGCCCTCCGAATTGCACGATGCGCAATTTGAACGATCTACGCCACGAGCTCGCACGAGATGCTGCTCGAACGCTTTGCGGGGAGATTAACAAGCCGCGAAACGGCTAATACCGCGAGAAAACCCGTGCGGAGCAAATTGGAACGAACGAATTCTGTCTACAACAGGCGATAGCTCGTGTTTTAATCCATCATTAAATGTCATCGCGACCGTCCCTTCCCGCAGAGAGAGTATCTCACGGTACCGTGACTCGTTTGTCACGAGCACCAACCCAACTAACGTCGTTACTATCTCGACGATACATCAGCGATAGCGTCGCGCTCGCTTAAAAAGAGGATCGTAAAAATGAATAAATAACACGGAGTGTAATAATGAGGACACTCTGTTTTCTCACTTGGTTAAAAACGCCACGAGAGCACGGCATGTAAACCCCTCCTCGAGCAACACGGAGCAGCCGGGGGGCGCGACAGACCTCGTTTAAGCGAGCATCGTTCTTCATTACGTCGTGCCCCATCAGGACGAGTTTCCCCTCACGAAACGCGCTCGTACGAGACGGAAACGACGTGACACGGCGCGACCGGGTCGCCTCGCCAAATTGCTCCGGTCGTGTGGTCGTCGCGGAAGTCGAACGGTAAAGGAGTCACGCTCACCTTGGTGATGAGATCCTTGGCGCGGCTTTCGAAGAGGTGCTCGAGCTTCTGCGTGTCGACCGCCACGGGTGCCAGCTCGTCCCAGATCATCTTGTGTTTGTTGAGCCGCGCGAGAATGTTGAGGTCGTCCCGCACCTCCTTCCAGAACAGCTTCACCGTCTTTTTGCTCTTCTTGGCGATCAGCGACGGCGGGCTCTTGGGCGCGCAGCTGCTGCTGCTGCCGCCGCCGCCGATCTCGTTGGCCAACGGCGGCCTCGACGTCTTGAGGTTGACGCCGAAGGGCTGCGGTGGCGGCGGACCTTGAGGAAGCGGCGGCGGCAATCTCGCGCCCAATGGCGGCGGTGGAGGTGCTCTCGCGTCCCCGCACGAAGGCGCCATCGGTGGCGGCGGCGGCGGCACGCCGTTCGCAACGTTGGCCGAGCCCAACACGTCGATCTCGTCCTCGGAGTTCAAGTCGGTGAAGTCGAGGTCGCAGAGCGCGAGCGGCCGCTTCAGCTTCTTCACCAGTTCTTCCCAGTGTAGCTCGTTCTCGGACTTCTTCGTCTCCTGTAGCTTCGGCAGATTGTCGCCGGTGGGTGACTTTAGCACATCCGCCTTCGACTTGGACTTGGCCAAGCCCTCTTTTGCCTTCGAGATCAGCCCGCTGATGTCGCCTATCCTGTGTGCACGCGCGACAAATGCTGGATCGTAAAATTGCGCGCGGTATTGCATCACGTTTGGCATTTGATATTTTCCGAGTATAACATGCGAACTGGATGAGGAATTGCGCGAAATTTTCCTCCCACAAATATCTAAATTATCACGTTCAAAAACACACGCAATGGCTCTTATTAGCCTTTTATTTTTGCCGATCCTCCTATATAAAATATTCTCCTATTCAAAATCTTCATGTTTCTTTATATAAAAATGTTCACAAAATTGTATTTTCTTTAGACTGCAATTGGCTCCGCGGTTTTTCCTATTAGGCCGCGGGAGTAAGTTAATTTAGTAATTTCGTCTTTCTTCTCTCGGCATGTTTCACTGTTTAAACGCGAATAGAGAGGAGAGACGCGAATCAATCGAACACGATACACAGCCGAAGCGAGAACTGCGCCTTTTCGCCGAAATTACCTGGAAACTTTCTCCTCCACGGGACTGCTTGGTATAAGATTCTGTGCCGCCAACTTCTGCGTGAGATCCTTGACGGTGCCCTCCCTTTTAGGCTGTAGCAGCACTCGACGATCCTCGTCTTCGTCGGTGTGATTACTCTCGCCATACTCGACACCTTCGTTGGGACTTTTGCCATACCACGGCTTCTTCTCCTCCGAGTCGAGCTTGTTCGCGGCATTCATCAAGGGCGTCAAGTCCTTCCTGCTGTTCGTTCTGGACAACTTGTTTGAGGGAGAATCGGCGTTCCTCTCGTAAGGGCTGCCGTTCGTGTATCGCAGACTGTTCGACGCAAACTGACCTTTAACGGCGGAGAAAACAGGAAACGCTTACTTCAATGACACGCGTGTCGCGCGTAACGCGACGACGTCCGCCGACGAGCGCGAAGAAATGCGTGTCTGGCTGACACGTCGAGTCTCATTTCAACCCGGATATTACACAAACGATGCGAGCATCTACTCGAGAACGAGAAGAAAATTTTGCTCGGAAATCAAGTGTGATGCAATCCACGCGCATTGCTCGCCGTATGCGCAATCTTAAATTAGGGGAAAGTTCGCTGAAAGAGCATATCGGTCTACTAAATCATACCTCATCAATCGAACTTAATTTTTTTAAAATATCTCTGGCTCGCACGAAATAAGATGTAATCTGAATTGTTTTAATTTATATTTCCCATTTTACCGTGTCGTTCAGAGTAGTTCATAATAATCAAAAAAAATTGATGAGGTGCGATTTAGGAAACCAGCACAATTTCAGCAACTCTCTCCTGCAGTGCGCGTACTTGGCGCGGTGTGTACACGTTATATTTTGCAAATAAATATGTGGATTTACGAATGAAACGATCGCGGGAATTCTGACCGCGAGAATGCGAATCGTGTTACCAGCGGATAAGCGGAGTTTCAGCGCGGAATAAAACAAATCGAGCGCGGCGAAAAGCGCTCTCTTTCTTCCCCTCTCGTGCGCGCGCACGATGATTAAATGGTCGGTGGGCACTCACTTTCCTGATCGTCGCTGTGACCGATCGAAGCCCTCATGTTTGCGGTAGCCTCTTGTTGCTCTCTAATGAAGCTCCTCTGTCTCTCCGCGCGCTCTCGTCGCCGTCTCAGCGCCGGTGTCACACCAACATCCACTAAAACACGCGAAACAGTGCTCCCTCTGTTCAAACGAATCTCGAGCGTGCGACTTAACGGGTTTCGGATGCAAATCAACTGTGTCGCACCGCAAGCTAAACGTATTCGAGACAAATTGTCGCGCGACATAAACTGAACTTCCCTTCCGTCGACTATCGCGCCAAACTTGCGAGTGTAATCTCTGCCATCGTGCTGGAATGGCGTGTGTGTTGCGCGCGATCGACTTCCCGTCGTCAAAAATATCACGAGATGGAGGCAGTAGCGATATGCATTCCTCACGAGAAGGAAATAAATCGCAAGTTGTTCCGATGTACCACGTCGTACCTAGGGCCTCTATCGTACACGCGACATCCTCGCAGATCTAATGGAACATTTATGCTGACCGCGTCGCCGATGAAATGCGCGGAGGAACTGAAAACCGCGAGGTCTCTCTCGGCAGGCGATTCGCCGATGCGGGAATCGTGCTCCGTGGGCGTCCAAGTTCGTATTCATCATGCAGTCGAATTGCTAACGAATCAATTTACGACACACGCTAGTTGAGGTTGCCCGAAGAATCCCGAAAATTGATCTCCCAATTAGTTCAACTTGTGCAAGTAACTCCGACCTATCGCGTACATCGCCGCGATCCATTTAGCAGATCGCCTTGGCGGTGAATTTCTCATGAGAGAAATCAAAACCATCCGCAGACTCGAAAGCAAAATACCCCAGGATATAATTAATTGATCCGGCATATTTTGAGGGTGTTCCGAATCTATATTCAATTAACACTATTACTCTAAATGTGTCACTTGAGATCGTAGTATGTATTTGGATTAAAAAAAGAGGGAAAAAACTTAGTAAATCGTCAATCGATCAAAAAAATGTTGCAAAAAATGCATCGAAAGAATAACAAGCAGAAGAGAACGCGACAGTTGCGATGCTTTGTGAAAAAACGGAGAAAAAACAGGACGGAGAAAAAACAAAAGTCATTAAAAGCTAAGAGATTGCAGGATATCGCGTCACGCTCCTCCCGATTCGCAATACAAATTTTTGAAATGAGGAGGACCAAGAGTGGGAAGGAGATAATTACCTTTGTTCTCCTTGTAACTGCCATTAAGCTGAACCTCACCCAGATGACCTTGAGAGCTCTGAGAGCTACTCGATCCGTCGTCGTCGTCTGGCAGGCTTGAGTTCAAGGTGCTGTTCAGCGAGCTTACGCCTAGAGTATGATTTAGCCGTGGACTCAGGCGCGCGTTCAGAGACATCGAAAGGGGCGAGGTGCCCGTCGAGTGCCTCCGAGACTTTCGTCGCTCGTGAGAATCCACCAGGGACTTCCGGTTCCGCAAGGTCTTCCTGTGAAGTCAACGGGAAATATCGTTTTCGTCGAATCGCTCGACGTAGCGCGGATCGCAATCTTCCCTCCTCCCCCACTTCCCTCAAATATGTACACGGAATATTCTTCTGCGTTAGTTCTCGACTCCATTCATTCCTCGGAGAGTATGGAATCGACATTCTTTTCATCGACCACCCCTCGCTATACACTTCCCTCTCGAACGATCTCAATGGATTTCATAGAAACGCGATTTCCAAAATATTCAGAGCGGCAAAGAACAATTCTTAACTATCTATCGTTTCAAGGAAGAATGCGCTACTCGTGTTCTCCCACTTACGCCATTCTCACCTGATATTGTCGTCCAGCTGGCGAATAGGCGAACCCCTGTCGCCGTCCTCGTGATGCAGCACCGCCTCGTAGATCTGAAACTGCCTGAGCAGGTCGAGATCCGTACCCTGCTTCGACATGTACCTCTGGATAACACCCTCCATACCCTGCTCCTCGAGGCAGTCCACCTGATCGTAGTAGGTGTCCTGATCGGGGATGCCGTTCAGGCACTTGTTGACCAACGTGGTCGCGTAGATGAGCAACTCGGTGTCGGCGGCGTCGTAATCCTTCAGAAGCTTCATCACGTTAATCCACGGTATCATGCCGCGGGCGGTATCCACCGCCCTCACAGCTCTGACCAGCAGCAGACTGTTTGTTTCTACGTATTCCACGAACACGAGCAACAGCTTCAGCGCCGTCTTCACCACCAGCCGAAAACGGCTGGCAATTAACGTATACAGCCATTCCACCGTCTGCCCGTGTTCCATCACCCCGTTCATGCCGTCGACGTACAGCATCACCTGGCCGAGTGCTGCATGAATGCAAACGAGTCGCGAGATTAAACGCGCCGGGCGAAATAGTTCCGGACAATCGCGCGCGCAAAAGAGAAACAAGCCTTTGGCCGCTGTTCGCAAATGCACCTCTCACTCCCTCTCTTTCTCTCTGTCTCTCTCCCTCCCCGATGGATTATCTCCATAGCCACTCGGAACAACACGAACGCTCAAACGCTGCTCGAAATATACGTAAAAAGAAAAAAAATTGTGTGACACCACAAATTTTAACAACCATTGCATTTTTTAAAGATATGTGATATGGAGAGTAAAAGAGAGAAAGAGAGAGAGAGAGAGAGAGAGAGAGAGAGAGAGAGAGAGAGAGAGAGAGAGAGATCCGTTTAAAAAATAATATCGAAGATGAGGATCTACATGTTCAAGCAGCCTGTCGTCGCGCTTGTTTCGACGAGAAAAGACCTCCCTTCGCAAAAATACCGCATTTGATATTTTTCACGTTGATCGATTTCGCCACCGGATTCTCTCCGTCTCGTCGTCGACCTACATACGGCAGTCATATATCTTGTTCTTTAATCTACGCTATAGCCTCGCACTATTATCATTTTTTTCCGTCGCGAACTCGAAAATACGAACAAAAATGACGGCGGATGGCGACGATACCGTCAATACGCAACGAAAAATCACGTCATCACCTTCACGTTGCAACGTAACATCCGAGCGACGCGGAACCCATCAATCTCTATCTCCGATCCGGAACGCGACGTTTTTTTCCTTCCTCTTCTCTCTCTTTTTTTTCATTCCAACCCCGTGCTGCTCGGTTGTTTACCAAACTGATTTCCCGCACGTTCGCGAACCGCGAGAGGGCTGGACTGAAATTTAACGTGCAAATTCCGCCGATCGCGGTCGTAGGTTCACTTGGGCGTTATCCCGACGTAGAGAATTACGCCGAAAAACGTGCCTCGCGCGTTGCCGCTTAAAGCTCGCATGTTTCGGCCGAGAGAGCCGCGCGCTCGTTGTGCTCTAAATAAATTACGACGCGCTCGGCGTGTAAAACGCGCGAAAAATACAGGAGAAAATCGTTTGCGAGCGACGCGCGTCGCGAATAAAAGTCTCGCCGCGGCCGAAATCAATTAGGAACGATGAAAACTGAAAAAGGAGAGAGGAGAAAAAAGGAGCACAACAACCGGAGTGTTCCTTTTGTCGGGCAATCATTGAAACGGAAAAAAGCTCGGAAACGACAGGCGCGAGATTCGCGGACGCGTCACTCGCGCGACGCGTAAATCAATTGGGCGACGTCGCGCTAACGAAATCGTAAATGAAGTGAGCCAATTACGCGAATGTTTGCCGAATCAAATCTATGACGAAGGCCACCGCACACGCACACGCACAATCCCGCCGATATCGATCTCGTTCGCGAGCAAATTAACAACATTTGATCCCAGTCAAATTAAAGCTGCGCAAATTGACGTCAATTAAAAATCCGCGACTTTCATTGACATTGCTATTATCGCTGTAATTTTGACTGTTATTACCGTTTCGAGACTGCCGGTACTCAGAACGTTAAATTCAATATTTAATTTGCGCAAATCTGACGCATTATTGCACAATCGAGAGAACGGCGCTTTAATCGCGCCACGAAAACGTAGCTACGCGCATTTATATACACACACACATATATATATAGACACATACATATGTGTATGCGCCGGTTCCCCGTTATAATATCATCAAAATTCCGGTATTCGCGCAATTCCGCTCGCCGTATCAGCGACACATTCGTGCCGGCAATGACAATGATCGTAAAGCGATTTAAGCACGTTCCACCGGCGAACGTTAATCCAGCCGTTATCATTACACGGGCCATAAGTTATGACGCGGAATCTAATTAGGAGGCCGGGATATAGATCGCATCACGTGTAATCATTGAGTATCGAACGTGCGCTGCACCATATTACCGTGTTACCGTGAGACATAATCTCCGAATGGGTCGCAAAATGTGGCGCGTTTCGCGTGCCGGCGCCCGTTTGCGTGCAAACCGCACGAGGAATCTATCGGGGACAGTCGCGACTGCGTTCGCAGTGGGGGAAAAAAGCTACCTACGAACGGAGAGATCAATTTTAACGACTTCTCCGATACGAAAACCGCAACAATGGCACGACTATTAAAAGAGGAAAGGAGACTGAGGGAAACTGTGGAAAATACGTCGACCAGCGACCGATTGTCGCCAAACTCGACTGTTTCGCTGGCTCTCATTCCGAATTCTCTTTCGCAAGTTTCTCGTCTCGTGGTCGCGTGATAAACTCGCGGGCACAACGAGCACGTATTACGGGATCACAGGGTGGAATTATCGCGCTCAAGCCGACGCAGTGGTGTTGACGACGACGACGGTTTACAGAACGTTGCTAGAACGTATCTCAAGCCGCGACGCTGTACTTATAAGATGCGCGATCAAAGGGCGCTATTCATAATTCGCGACGCATCGCGAATATTTGACGAGTGCTAGCCGCACGCCATCGTGAGCCGCGGGTGATGACGTTTTCGTGTTAACTCCGCGACGCGTTAACACTCGGCGTCACCTCCGAGCTGCCTTTCTCAGACGATAACATCGTCGTCGTCGCCGTCGTCGTCGCCGTCGTCGTTGTCACGCGCGTCCTTCTCGGAACGGCGAAGACGAGGAGCATTGCTTGATGCTCGGCTCGTTAAACGCCGGCTGCATTACGCCGGGTATTATCTTATCGTTACCTGCGCGAGATTGCGGCGGATGAGAGAAAGACAGACAGAGGGAGAGTGTGTGTGCGTGCGCGACATATTCCTCCCGGCGTCTCACCACGCGTGATCTCGTCGTGCATGTGCAAGGTCGCGTCGTTCCCTTAACTCAATTTGCGGGGTCGTTTACGATACGACTTTCCCGCCGTCTAATTGGACGCGTCGTCTGTCGCCGCGCTATCGCGGAAGTTATAGAATAATCATCCGCCGTGTCGCGTTGCGAATCCCATCGCGACGAGCCGCCATCGCGACGGTCATTCTCGAGACATGGAAATTAATCGGGGATCTGCGCGTGCGCGTGGAACGCGCATGATTGATAAGCGAAGTGTCCGGTGATATCTCGAAGGATCCTGTCTCACGAGCAGAGAGAGTTCGCTTTTAATCCTCGCGGAATCTGCCGGTGGACCGATTCTTACGTTCGACTAGAAATTTACGTCGCATTTATTCTGATCGATCGCAATCGGTTATCTGGCTTGGAAAAAGTGATTCTATCGACATCTGACAAGTCATGTAGCGCAGCACGTCAATCAGGACCTCATTAGCACTAGGGATCATTACAATCTTAAGACTCCTCACTGATAATTACAACTCGATAGCTTCACTTTATGCACTGAGAAAAAGTATCCAAAAGTGTATTTGTTCGCGCTGGATATTAATAACATATTTACTTAAATCTAAACGCTTTTATTTAAAATGGAATGAACAATTGCTTTCGGTTTCTCAGGTATTTCTTCTCTCAATGCGCAAAAACCAGATAATTGATTGGAATCGATCCGGACTATGGAATAAATTTCTAGTCGGGCGATATCGGGAGTATTAAGAGTCCTCGGTAATCACGAGAAAGTCACGGCGCACTCGTAGGCAGACTTCCGATTTTCGCGGATATTATCGGCGAGATCGTTCGGATCTCTCGCGCCTGAGAGATATTCAAGTTCGATTTTAGGTAAGTGATGGTTTCGTCGGTAATAGTAAAAGGGGAGACGGGGTGAAGAGAGGGAGGGGAATGGTTTGCGCGACAGCAGACGCTCTCTCTATCGAGCGAGACGTTGGCATTAGGGGAAGGAAAGAGGGGGGGAGGGGTGAGCACAGCACTTTACCCTTCGATTTTACGACGCTCGGTGAATAGAGTACTCACCTCGTAATATGTAATTTTGGTAGTTCTGGTCGGCTTCGCTGCTGACTTTGATGAGACAGGCGAGTCCGTCATTTTGCACGAACTCGTGCACCAGGTCCTTGTCCTCCTGGAAAATTGGTATTCGCGATAAGCCGACTTGATTATAACATAACGCGGCGACAAAGTTAATCCGCGCCGACGTGCTAAACAGAGGTACATTTTGCGAGAGTGCTTCTCTCACTCTGAAGAGCCGGATGATGCGTTCGCTGCAGCCAGACGCGCTTCTTAATTCTATCAGAGAAAGAGAGAGAGAGAGAGAGAGAGAGAGAGAGAGAGAGAGAGAGAGAGAGAGAGAGAGAGAGGGGCGGGCTTTCAGCAACACAACTTGGGAAATTATCGCGTTGTGTTCCGAACGTTTGCGTTGCGTGTGTAATAAATATTTAGCATTTTCTAACTTTCTCGGTTACTCTTAAGTCAATTGAAATGAGCGACAATGAAAACATACAGAGAAACGAACATTTGATATCCGATCCTGACGGTGGTGTCACGACGTGGCGTGATTTACCTTTACATTACCACCTAAGCTCGACTCCCCTACCGCGCGAGAGTCGGGGGTTAAATGGAATTAGTTATGCCGCTCCGGGCGCGAAGTCGCGGGCATAATGGAAAATCTACGAAGTTTGATTAAACCCCCTCGTTTCCAGGGCGCCGCGACGCCGGCGCCGTGGCCCGCTCGCGAGAGATCTCGTCGGACTTGTACGGTTCGCGCGCGCGCTTCACTACAGGATTCTCCCAGGGTTCTCTCTCGCTCCCTCGATCCCGTCGCGCTAGTCCCGAAGCGACGGAAGTTTACACGGGACTTAGGTGCGACGTAGACTCGATTAGCCGGGCGGATTAAGAAGCGAAATTGGACTCGTACTGATGCACCACCTCGGCGCCAACAGGATGAAAGCCTGTATTGGCCGACTAAGCAAGCTGCAGGATAAAGGACGCGACGTATTCACGGAGTTTCTCTTTCTGTCGCGGAAATAACTCAAATGTTAAAATAAAATATCATTGTTTAACCTTTTAGTAGGATTCCCTATAAGCGTAAGTTGCCCGATTTATCCCATAGTCCCAATCCGTTACCTGCTCTCGGTAAAGTTATGAGACTTAATTATTAATAATCCTTATTATTAATAAGATCTTGACTGCCACACTGCGTTCAGTGTTTTGTCAGGTGATGACATCGCCTTATGCATCAGACAACTTAATAACTTTAAATAAGTCAGACAACTTAATTAACCTGATTAGGACTGTGGGATAAATTTCTATACTGAGAGAAAAAATATCTAAAAAGTAAGAAACAATTGTGGGTATTGCTAATATATTAACTTAAATTAATCTATTTAAATCTAATAAACATTTGCTATGATGAGGTTTTCAAAAAATGAATATTTTCTTATTTTGAAATTCTTATATTGAAAAATATTTTATATAAGTGTGTTTTTAGCTTAGATTATCCGCCGCGCGAATAAATATGTAGTATTTCTCAGATATTTCTTTCTCTCGGAATAGTCGTGTACTTATCATCGCTGGCGAGAGAGCGCGGGTCGACCGAGCGAAATCAAACACACGAGATAAATCGGCTAAATGGATAGTTGCGCGTACCTGCGGCGGGGAAAATGACAGGTAGCGCGCGGGCCGAACTACCGACGACGCACGGTCGTCATTATCGGAAAACCGCGATTTTTCCCGGTCAAAAGGGAGATAATACCGTACGAACCGTTCCGCGGCGAAAGCGGGACATGCGCTCGGCCGGGGTTAAAGAAAAAGAAAGTTGGCCAAAAGTAAAATCGTTATCCGATAATGAGAAGCGGGCACCCGACAAATTCTCGAGTAGCGTGAATTTAATGACGGAGTTATTTTCGCGGCCGAGTCACGTGTGCGTCGGAGGCACAAAATGACACAGTTTGTGAAAGAACCTCCGAGGTTCCTGGATTGATACGGGACGGCGTGTACAATCTTTTCGTTCCGCGGCAAACGTTTCGCAAACACCGCCGCTTCGCGCGGTTTAGAGAAAGCAACACGAGTCGCGCGAGCGCCGCGGAAAATTAGTCAAAGGCGTCGCATTTTCTTCACTCGCGCCCTGATTAGTGGAAAACTTCACGCGGCGCCGACATTGGCAGTCGCGTTATTTGAGCATGATTTACGGACGCGGGTAATGAGTCGGAACCGCATCATATTTAATTAAAATTTTTGCTTCCACTCGGGTCAGGTATGTCAAAAGGAAAAAATTCGAAGAAGCGGGAGAGAGAGAGAGAGAGAGAGAGAGAGAGAGAAAGAGAGAGGAGGAGGGGGAGAAAAAATTGTGCGTCTTCGCGCCGCAGAAAATGCACTCGTCGGTACCCGCCATGCAAATATTTACTCGTTGGCCGAGTAGCTTTGCGCAAAAATATCCTCCGTCCGACATCGTTGCGTCGAACCCCACCACCCCGGTCATTCTTTCTCGCCCCCCTCCTGCCGCTCCCGTCCCCTCCCCAACTCGCGCGCTATCGTATCGCGAATTGTGAACCTACCTGAAAGATCTGCTTGAGGGAGAAGAGGGCCCGTCGCAGCTCACGGCCTTCGCTGTTCAGCAATTTTTCTGCAACAGACAAGCACAACACGTAACCATTTATTATAATAATACCGCGCGGCACGCCGTCGTCGTGGGCGCGCGAGCATTGTTGCGCGCGTCCAGGTCGAATGGACAAAGCGGGAAGAAGAGGATGAAAGGGAGGGAGAGGGGTTGTCTTTCTGCGAGGGGGCCCGTTTTCAGATCATGGTGCTTAAAGCGCGCCGTAATGAAAGAGACCGCGTTTACCACAGCTCTGTCTCTTTCTTTCTCTTTTTCTTTCTTTTTTTCTTTTTTGGTTTCTTCTACCATCATCATCACCGACCATCCGTCGATCCTAAACGGACGTGTGCGCGCTCTCTTACTGCTAATTTGATATAAATTGCCGTCGGATTATTGAATCGAGCTCCCGGGCGGGATCCTCCGTCCCCGCGGAGACTAATTTTAGTATCACCGAGCGAAAACAACGGGATATTAATGGAGTACAGTATCGGTCCCGCGGACGAGGGCAAATTATTTATGGCGATCGTGATGCGACGGGATGACGTAACGAGGCGTCTGCACAAAAGTAATCGATGCAATCGACGCGACTTCCGCGTGTTCGAAGATGCGAGTTTTCCGAAGGCGTGAGTTTCATTTAAGGGGATGCTGAAGCTAAAAACTTCACCGACAGAATACTGACATTTTTCTGCAAAGTTTACGTCGTATTGGTTACACATAATTACAAATGCTTTTACGCAATGAAAATATGTGCAAAAATAAATAGGAGCATTGCTCGATATGTGTCGAAAACGAACAAAAAATTTTTAATGTAAAATCTCAAGCTGTCAATTAGCGTAATATTTGCCTAATCGAAAAGTTCCGCAGCTTGTATACATTGATGCTCCAAACAGAAAAATGTTGAAGAACATTGCTCTACTTTCGCATCTGTATTTGGAAGCTTAAAAATATCGAAAAAGTTTGCAGAAATATTTCTACACATATATGGCTAGGTTTTCCGTTGAGTATGGTAAAACAAAGCAACACATATTCATGTAAGTGCTATATGTACAAGAAATACGAAAAGGATAGCGTGATTATGTTAATGACGATCGTCTCTGCATTATCGACATTGTTCGAGTTCGTCATCCACTCCAGCATCACCCTAAATTCGCCTAGTGCGACCTCAAATACAGCGAAAAATTGATAAAAACAATTGATGAGTCGATTAAGTGGATTTATCAATAAAAATTGATAGGTCACTTCAATTTACAAGCCCCGTTCCTCCCTCGGAGATTGTTTCGAAAAAATTGGATCCACAAGCCAAATTTGGAAGACAAAGACTTCGGTTTTCGAGCGCAAATCGATATCGCGCGCGCGCTTTCACGCAACAGCGTAAATTTCGTCGTGAAACACATCCTGCGCTCCCACGAGGATTAATGATTCCATTGAGAAGCGCGCGTCGTTTGACTCTTCCTCCTGCCTGCTCCCTTCTCTCTCTCTCCCTTTGGAGCGGGCTTGTTTATCGAGCAAACACCGGGCGCGCAATTAAACAGAGGCTCGTAATTAAGTCCGATCAATTTTGCACGCTGAATTCCCGGTCGGTGTCTCCGGTGCGCGCGCTCCGCGTCGTTTCCTTCTTTTTCGTCACCCCGGAACGACGCCATCTCCTCTTTTGATCGTGCGTGTCCCACGATACGCTCCCTCCGCATATTACTAATAATTGAATTCCATTTCACCGGCGGCACGGCACGGCAAATTCAATTTGCCGACCGCGGTGAGATTTCCCGGCGTTTCCGCGGAACTCCGCGGCCGGCCGTCAGCGACGGCGAAAAAGGGGAACGAATGTAGTGGTGCACGTTATCGTGCGATAACGGAGAAACGCAAATACACCGCGAAAATATGTGACGGCAATTCTGCCGGGAACAAAGCGGGATGGTGGGAAGAGGACGGGGGCAGAGAGGGGGAGAGGGATGGAGAGCGAGCGAGCGAACGAGGGAGTGAGAAGGAAGTCATACGTGTCGGCACGATGTATTATATGCGAAATGCAGTTTCCGTCTGCGCGAAGATGAGAAGTCGGTGATAAGCGAAATTCATTTATCCCTGGTTTCGTATTTCCGCGCGCGCGCGAGAACCTCTCGACAATGCGCACATTCATCTAATAGAGCGATATTTAAATTGTCCACATTTTTCACTGTCAACCGCATTTTCAACGGGCGACGCGGGGTCCCATTATCAAGTACCTATCCGTGAAATGAAACCGCGCGTCTCGAGGCCGGCATTTCGACGTTCGCATCGTGTGCGGCGGTCGCGGCCGACAATGAGACCGTTCAGATACGAACGTAATCCCCGTTTATCGCGATCGCATTTCGTTAGCGATTTTTTTATGTAACCACGCCTTCTCGCCCGTCCGAGTCACGGTTCGCGGCTCGGCGAACCCAATTCGCGATTTCTTTCGCGGAAAAGGAGGCCCGGTGCGACCGCATAATCCACGGCTATCACGCGATCTTCAAATGCATAATGCATGCGGGACAGACAGGGAGCGAGAAGGGGGAGCAAGAGAGAGAGTGAGACAGGGAAACAGGGAGGAAAGACAGAACGAGTGAGCGAGGAAAAGAGACGGTCGCAGCAGAAGAGCAACGGGAAGAAGCGAGAAGAAGAAGGGAGATATGCAAGCAAAGGTAATTAGGAGCTCGCTGCAGGGTACGCGAAGGAGTCGAGGAGAAGGATGACGGCGAGAGGAAGAGAGAACGCGTCTCTTCTAAGAATAGCGGTCCCAAGGCCCTGCGGCCCTTGGTCCCTCTGTAATCAGTGACCATATAAGCAAAAGTCCCCGTCTTTCTCCCACCTCCTGCTCCCACCCTTTTTGCTCTGTCTCTCTGTCCCCGCCGTTGGTATCTTCTTTTCGCTGTTGAGCAACTTCGCCGAGAGCGCGCGTCGTCACGCGGTCATTGTCGCGGAGGGATCCCCTTCAATTTCATTCCACGATCGACGTCGGGTGTCGCCATCGAACTCTCGCGTTCGCCAGCTTTGCTTTTGCAGCCGGTCCACTGACCCATTTCGCGCGATTGTTTCTGCCCTCTCGATTACGCGAGGAAACTCGTACGGCAAGACGGAATATTGATCGAGACTGCGCGGCGGAATTTTAAATACTCTCCGCCGGGATACGCCGTGCGTTAATATTCCAAGCAATTGAATCCATTTTCGCGAGCGACCGAGTGCACGGACGAGCCGCCTATCGCTGACTTGCTCGGCGTGTGCGAAATCCGATTCCCCGTGTCGCGTGATTCGCGAAAACGTGCTCGCGGCGCGCCTCGCAACGCGTCCGGCCACAGAATATTTGTATGACCTAACCAGTTCTCGGGCGAAATATCGAATCGCGGAATTCCGCGGCCGCGCGACACACGCGCACGCACGCACGTATGGCGCGATGCAATTCGCGCGAACACACCCGCGCTGATTCGAGGATAACGGACGATTAACAGCGAGCGATGCGTAACGGGCGATAATGGCGAGCGTTTTCGACAAGAGCCTCGTTATATTCATACCGCGGCGATATAAGGATCTATTATTTTAACACTGAGCAAATATCCGTTTATACGTGGCGCGCGGAATGAATTAATTTCCCGCGAGTTTATCGTCCGTCCGGTTTTATCGTTCAAAGAGAGATTACGCCGTTAACCAGTCGCGCCCGATTACCGCTTGCTGTATACCGCCAATAACAACAGTGACGCCGCTTTTTTCCGTTTCAAGAGCACGTTTCCCCGATGAATTCAGGGGAGGGGGGCGGTGATTGTTTCCGCGTCGTGAGTCGGACGCGCGATGTAATTATGCGCCACACAAGATAAAAATGCACACCGTCCAACTGATCTCCCTCCAAGTGCAGCTTACTGTGGAGGATCTTGCGGTCGTTTTCCGAGATGTTCCCATCATTTCGAACAGCCTGTATCGAGGTGTCGAAAGAAAAGAGGAGGGAGAGGAGAAAATACGGGACGTTTCCCAAGATAGGATCGTTATTGCTCGCCGCTCCGTGGAAGACGGCCGGGTCGCGAACAAGACAGAGGAGAAGAAGAGGTGAAACGGAGAGGAAAAAAGGAGATGAAAAAGAAAACGAAAAGACGAAGCACAACTTCGCGGGGGCCGGAGGTACACGAAGAACCGTTAAAATATGTAAAACGGCACGGTCCACTTTGGCTTCCGCTCCTCCCTCTGCCCTTTTAGGAGCTCTCTCCCTCTTTCTTTTTTTCGCTTATTACGTACCTTCGATCATCTCCAGCAGGAGGAGGACTTTGCCGGGGTTCAATGAACCAGGACACGGAGCCCCGCAGGTGTAGCCGACGTGCATAATCGCTCGCAAATTTTATTCCCCGCGGTACTCAGCGTCTATTTCGAGCGCGCGCGCGTGTGTCTCCCCTCGACGATATATACACGCGCTCCTCCGCACGATTCCGCGCACGTTAGACGACGAAAAAACCAAGCGCACCCTCCGTGAAGTATTCGACAGAGTGGCGAGAGCGGTTTTATCGAGCGGCGAGTCTCGAGGATTCGGAATGAAATTCTTAAACGCGTGAGTGTCATTTGTCAATGAAACGATTAGGTCGGAGTAGCGGGTATCGGCAGTATCGATCGCAATCGGTCGCAAGTCCAATAACGAATTTTGTAATATCGCGAATAAAAAGAATGTCGGCCGGAGAGGGAGTTTTTATTCGACATTGCGTGATTAAGTACCGTCTGTCATAGTCAGTGATGGATGGTAGCCGAGCTACGATAAAGGATTAGCTTGATTTTCGCAGCTACAGCGTTCTGCACTCAGCGGCATGGTCATTACTTCGCTAATTATCAACAGACAACGGAGGCTCATTGTTCGCGACATTGTATAATTATGTCGCGGAGTGCATTTCAAAAGGCCGCGTACCTAGCAGGCTCGAGCGACTCGGCACGTCGCGAATTTCATTGCGCTGCCGTTATTCCCGTTATCATTCGCGTCGTCTTGACGAGAGAGAGAGAGAGAGAGAGAGAGAGAGATCTCGTTAATAATTTATTAATGAAATTAATTTATTAATTAATTAATATTTATTTATTGAATTTATTTGTTGGGTATATTTATTTATTGGGTAACACCAAGCATGCTTACCGGACGCACCGTAAATTGTAAATTTCGCTCAAATTTACTTCCAAGAACCGTCGAGATTGTGCACGAAAATCACGTAAAGAGCGAAACAGAGAACTTCTGAGAAGGGACTTAAATAAATTTGAGAAATGAGCTTTCAATGACACGTCCAGTACGCAAAATGAGCGTGTCATCGTCAGGTGAAAGAGTCACCTCGACGTCGCAGACGAAGATCTTTGTTTCAAAGTGTTATTCGATCCGATGCGGATGCCAGCATCACATTCGACGCATGTCATATGATATTAATGACGTACGTGGTCTCTACCTATATTTGCATTCCATCGAGCTACAATGATTAAATATGTCCGATTATGCTCGTCGGCAATAACGAATTGGCCGCACTGCGACTGTTTACCGTCGGCAAACCGACCGGAACGAAGGCTCGATACAAAACGTATTTTAGAATTATTACAAACACAGGGTAATGAGTATTGACACGTAGACGCGCGGAAATAATCCCCGGCGACTTATAAATTGATCCCCGCGAACGGAATTCCCGTCGCTTCATCAGAATTTCGAGTCGGTCTTGAAAATTCGCGACTCGGTCGCGTCGCGCGCGCATCTCCGTGACGCACCGTCGGTCTTCGACCGCGATCGTCGAAAACCCGATGCCTCGCGGCGTTACAGTTAACGGAGAGGTCACCATCGTCGCTGAACCGAAACAAGTGACCGAGTAACTAGAACGAGAGACTCGACCCGACGTCGCCGGTTAAGGGTCGAGGAATCAGCGCGCTCGAGCGCGCCGCGGCGCGGATGATCCATCCAAGTGGATCGTGGGAGCCCATCGCGAGATTTGAATCAGGAGAATCCGCGCGTCGGCGGCGGCGGCGGCGTACTCACCTATGATGGTGTGAACCCTCACGGACAGCTGGGTCCTGAGAATGATCGCGTTCTTCCGGCTGCAACAGAAAGAACAAACAATGCCGATTAGTATGCGCGTCAAAATTCCGATTGTTGCGTGGGTTACGTATTAATATGTGATTAGGACGGGACAGGGGAGGGGGAACGGGCTGGTGAGCAGACCGGGGAAGGGGGAGGCAGGCCCATTGCCCCAGTGAAGCGCGCTATTATTCGTGCCGTCGCGGATGGATGCTAATTAGTTACGGCCGCGAATTAATCGCGTTCGGTAATTACTTAATTAGGGCTTTGCGCGCTGCTCTGTGCCCTCCTTATTAAGCCGCGTACTCTCACACACATACACGCATGGACGAACACATGTGTCGTGTGAATGCCGATGAGTGTTGCTCCTGAATGTTACACGGCTAGTCGCGCCGGTGCTGTAGTATTTTCGAATCTAGTTTCGCAAATCTGCAATTGTAATGCGCTCTTTGTTCTGACGTAACGACGCAGCGCGATAACCCGGTAACGCGGCCACGAATCCTGTCGGGCCACCGAAGCCGTGGGCGATAGATGCTCTTAATAAGGTCGATGTTGATAGTTGTTACTGATAATGCGAGATATCTTACTTAGAGTTTTTTTCATTTTTCTTCAAATTTGAATCCACACTAAATCTGCACGAAATTATCATTCTGCATTTATACTGAGTTTCGAAAGCGCTGATCTCTGCGCTAATGGAACCAATAGAACTGAGATTTGTGTCGAATACGAGATGCAGGGCGTTCGAGACGTGCAAATTCTCGTGTAATCCATTGTTTATATCTTATCAATATATCGGAGATGTGTATAACGCGGCAGGAGACGGTAGAAAAAAGAATGCAGCCTTACAGGGACTCGCGCGCCGATACGTAAATTGGGTTAGAGTGGCGCGGCTCGGTTTCCCCGGTTTGTCTGCGCGCGCGTACCCTCACCTTGGACGGCGCGAACTTTAAGGCCCTGCGAACCTTCCCACGCCACGTCGCTGAGAAACCGCGACGACCGTGTAGACAATGGCTTTCAGAAAAAGAGGAGGGGGAAAAAAGAGGCGACGAAGAGTCGCTCGCCAACGACGGCGGCGGCGGCGGCGGCGATGGTGCCGACGGTGGTGGTGATGGTTTTGCGCGCAGGTAAAAAAAAGAGAAGAAAAGAAAATAAGAGAACAGACACTCGGGTGTACGCTCGTTAATAATGTTTCCGCTCGTTAAATGAGGGAGGCAGAATGCGATTACGCGCCCTGAATTTCCCACGAATAATAGCGGTCGCAACAGTATGTTACTCTCCGTCGCGACCCCTTTCGAGTGCCAGTGGAGGGTATGAATATGAAGTGCAGTGGGACAAATACAAAACGCAGCGATGCGCGTAGCATTAGGTGTGTTTAATTGAAAGAGTCGTACGATTAAAACATTTCAATTCGTAAATCCTCGAATAATGCGGGTATGATAACAAGGAGGAGAGATTTCCGATGGTGAATAATTTTGTCGCACGATTTAACGTTTTAATTAATTTTAACGAGCGCTTCGATCCGAGGAACGGAAAGAGAAAGGAAGGATCAATTAGGGATTCGTCCGAAAAAAAGTGAGGGAAATATTAACGAACACGACTGATTGATCCGACGAAAGCGCGACGTATTCAGATTTGAGCTGTTATCATGAATGCGACGTAAAGTCTGAATAGCAGTTAAATCACGCCACTAATATTTTAATGCCAAAGCAAAAATAAAATCGACGATTTAATGTTCCGCGTGCGGGAGAAAGAAAAGCCTGACCTATAATAAATAACAAATTTACGATAATATTCCACTATTGGTTCTCCACCGAACTAATGGATTACTGAGGTAAATAACGACCGTACACAAGAATTTACAAATATGTAGCAGCGCGAGTTGCCGTGTTTTTTTTAATAAAATGCAATTGAGGAAACTTGCCGGTCTCATTGACCGATGCGAAAATTATCGGAAATATCGGAGCTGGAGTACGATTTCTCTCTCTCTCTCTCTCTCTCTCTCTCCCAGGGCGCCGAACATCGCGGCGAACGTTCGTTTGAGAACACTCTGCCCGATGCAGCGCGCCGAATGATATATCACCGTGCGGCGCAAAACAAGCGGCGGCGGCGGCGACCGCCGCCGCGACGGTGTTGCAGTGGCAACGACCGCGAAGGGTTAACAAACTCCAAAAGCGAAGGTGGTTGTGCGAATAAATTAAAAACTTTCAGGCATGGGGCCAAGTTCAATGCCGTAACACCGGTCGGTCGGGCTACCTCGTAAACACCCACCGGCGTCTTTCGCTCCGATAACTTCTTGTCGCAGCAGCGTGCAATAGAGAGTGACCCGTAACGTATATCCCACGGCCAACACGCCGTGCAACGTATCGACTATGCCGCCTCTCGGCCCCTCCCTTCCCCCCCGGTGTCACAATTTCGCCGAGATCGCCGTGGCGCAATGGCTAAACGCTCGCAATTTGACGAAACGTAAGTCTCACAGTTTCGTCGTTATTATCGTTATTGTTGTTACCCGCGCCGAATATCGAGACCTTTGGCTCTGCCATATTCAGAGGAGTCGGTGTGCACTGTTCACGATGGGCTGGTCGCGACGCCTAGACGTCTGACCAGGAAATTGCACTTTTAATGTATCTTTGCGAGGAGGTTTCTTTTCAATCTCTCTTCTTGAACGGAAAAGAATATATCTCGAAATTCAAGAGTCACACGGTGGATTTGCTAAGCCGCGAATTAAATTCCGCGTGTATTAAATCTATCACTGGTGTACGTCGTGGAGCGACGGCGGAGTGCACGATGACCGGCGCGACGTGAAGTTTTCGCATATACACGGTGAGGAGGCAGGGCGAGTCGCTTAGATGAAGGTACTCCGTGTCGAAACGGACGTCGTAACTTTCTCGGGGAAACAACGAGAGACGGTGTCATAGAGGCCACCGGGACGGTAGATGGCTAGGTAGGTAGGTAGGTAGGTAGGTAGGTAGGTAGGTAGGTAGGTAGATAGGTAAGAAGGGAAGGAGGAAGGGAGGGAAGGAAGAAGGGAGGTCTTCGAAATCCACCTGAGTAGAGAAGCGGAGAGGCCCTCATGCAAATGCGATTTACCTCCGGCGTGGCTACCGCCTAGCGGCAAGTGCACCCTCGGGAGAACGAAAGCGAAGCGGGGATAACGTTCCCCGGCAAATGGAATGCAAAATCGTGGACGGCGCGAGCGCCTGTGGGAACTTCGTCGTCCGTGGCCGTTGGGCGACGAAAGTCTCCGGGGCCGAAAGGATTTCCAATCTCTCTTAATGGCACATTAATCGTGATTCCGACGGACCAAGGAGGAGAGGAGAGAGCAGAGAAGAGAAACGAGAGACGAGAGGGCGGCTGTGTTGCTTTACGCGCGATAACTCCTCCTTCAACCGACAGTTTTCAATTGGCGAACGCGAGACGCCGATAGTCCCGACGAAGTTGTTTCGAATACCAGTTATCGATACTCCGTCTTTTGCACTTCAATCCGGAAGTTTGCGAAAGAGTTAGTATGGAGGCGCGGGGGACAGGCGCGCGAACATCTCGCCGAGAAATCTTGCGTCTCTCTCTCTTTCCCTCTCTCCCTCTCTCTCTCTCTCTCTCTCTCTCTCTCTCTCTCTCTCTCTCTCTCTCTCTCTCTCTCGATTGAGCATGAAATTAAAGATGTTCGCGTCGGGAAGTTCGTCGCGCGCACTGTAGAGCCCGGGGCGGAGTGGTGTTAATCCTTCATTAATACGGCGGAGTTTTAATTGGTACATTATGTAACGCGAGTGCGCCAGAGGAAATACCGAATCTGCGCGCAGGGTATTCTCCATGTAAATGTAGGTCCTATGGTATGCAGCGAGGAAGCGCGGATGTTAGTTGTAAAGGACTAACGGATGTTAGTTGTAACAGAGTTATACTTCGTGTTGGAGTGGAATTACTTCGGGGCCGCGCTCGATTTTAATTAGGAACGTCATTAGGCGGCATCGATAAAACGCGAAACTTCACATTCGCGTAAACTCGACCAACTTCGTGATCGCAAAGTCGGCTGAGAGATCTGTGCCACGTTTCCGCTCGACTTTACTCTCGAGATCACAAAAATGTGACTAGATGTGACAAGAATGCGTAAACGTGATTAAGCATCACTTCGATTATCAGCATTCGATAAATGTTTTTTCGGACATTAACGTGAAGACCACCGATTTGATCACATCGTTTCTTTGAAAATAATCGATAAAAATCAATAATGCCTGCGATTAGAATATTCTGATGAGCCAATTTATAGCGCTTGTTAAGGCTTAATTCTATCGGCAAGGGTGCCGGCGAGAAAAACGGAGGCTTTTGTTCCCCGTGGCCGGGCCTCGTAAGCGGAGCGCTTGTCCGGCTTCTCTTGCGAAGACGAAAATCAGGGTTCATTGATTCCGGGCGTATCGTCGTGCCATTCCCGGCGCGGAATTCGTGGATCGCGATGAAGATTAATGATCGCGATCCACCTGGATCCGCCTGAGAAGAGAACGAGGCGGTCGATATTAACCCGCCGCGACCTCCTCCCCTGCTTCGTTACATCTCACCCGGAGCTGCTGGCCGATCCTATGTGTACGAGAGAGGATCGGGTAACCCCGGCGTCTTCCGCAGACGACTCGCTTCGGGAACGAAGCGAGGGAGCGATTGCGAAACGAGCCGGTGCGTCGGAGAGCGCGAGAGCTACATGTTGGAGCAAGTTTTCGAGTACTGCTGCTACCACTACTACTTGTGCTGCTGCTACTACTACTACGCGCACGGTGTTACGTTCGGCGCGAAGTTACGCAAGACGCAATGATCACGAAGGACGGGAGTAAAGTTACGCGGTTATGAGCTGCCAAGAAAGCGACGACTCATCCATCGAGCGCGAACTCGAGAGAGCGAGCGGGAGAACGCGTCTCGTCGCGATCGAGACTCACGCCTCGCGAGAAGAAAGTTATCGCGCGACAGGTGGCCCGAGTCAATTAGCATTTGCCAGGTGACTCCGCGGGAGAAGACCCTTCGGTGATTTTCCGTGTGTACT